TACCACTAGGTACATGTATGTCTGAGTATAATGAGTGGGTGGATGGTGATGGAGGCTTCGATGTGGCGTCTGCGTCTGTCATCACTGTGTGTCGAGTCAATGGAAATACACCAAATTGTGAAGTGTTTGTGTGACCTTAGCTGGTGAAATGTGCTATATATATAACAGCTAAACAGTTCTGTTTAGCTGTGCTTTTTATCATGTTATTACTTTACATTTGTCTTTTTTCAAAATTTTATTTTGCGCATCAAAATTTGTTTTTAAGCTTGTTTATGTTTTCAGTCTGTTCATGTAAAGTACTTTGAATTACACAAACACATTTTTATTGGTTCATTGATTTGAGAGTTTTCTTTATGATTTGAATTATATGCCACAAAGCCAAATCCTTTTTAGGTTGTATGTTCTAGAATTCTGAAAACAAAAAGGTCCAAATATCCTTATTTGATAGTGATTAGATTCACAAACCTGAAAAAGACTGTTTTATTGGACTGATTCTATTGTTTTATGCCAACCGTGCAGCACTTTGCAGACAGTTTGTCTTCTAGACATCTTAATGAGAAAATTATTAGACCACGTAGAACAAAGAAGATGTGGAACTTTGACACATTTCAAAGTTTATGTTTTATGTGGATTGCCCGAGGAAATACAGAGAAATTAACATTAAAATAAGGCTATAAGTCTGACTGTTGACAGTTACCATAGTTACCGGGAAAGATGTTTCAGATCCACCACAAAGTTAAACTACAGGGTGTTTGGAATGTTGCGATGTCACACAACCTAAATGATTCTCTAGAACCTTTGGGTGGCACAGTGGCCCATAGTAATAATGTCCTAGGTTAGATTCCACTTCCAGACCTTCCTGTGCGAAGTTTGCATGTTCTCCCCATGTCTGCATAGGTTTTCTCCAAGTGCTCCGGTTTCCCAAACCACTAAAAATAAGTACAATATTTCTGGCATGAGCCTTCTGTACAGCGACCCCACTCCTCTGTTCTCTGCGTGGAGTGAGAGACAAATGCTCACAACAATTGTACAGTACTTTTCCTCTTGTGTGTGTCACCCCTTCTTTGCACTCTCTCTTTGCAAACTAAAGATATTGTGTATCTTTGTCTGATCAAACAGAGCAGTTTGTGTTTGTGTTTGTCTGGTTTGACTCTCTCTGGACACACGGGGAGCACTGATCTGCCCTAATGTAGCCGACAGGTGTCAGCCTTCTTGGATGTTTATGACAGGCCCTGGGCCTGACTGCTGCTAATGTCATCTGAGTTATTAATGAATCTGGTCTGGAGCCTGGGTCTCAGCACAAGTTCAAGCCCAAAAATATTCCATAGCTTGAAATGATCTCAGAGCTCTTTATAAAACAATAAACAATTCCAACTCCAATGTTGGAAAACAACTCACATTATGGTTTGGGCCAGTGCCACGAGGGCCTCTGTAGTGACAGACTGGAGTTGGACCTGAGGACTCATGTTTTAAATACTTTACACAAGACTCCGAAGCTTGTTGTGGCTGACTTTCTACATAAAACATCCTTAGTTCTTTGTGATAATAGTTCAGAGCTTATATCACACAAAATAAAACAGACAGATAAATACACTGCAAAAATGTTTGAATCAAGGTTTTGTTTTAATCTTAATATGAGCACATTCTGACTTTCTTAAAACATGATTTGCTAATGTGACAACGCCATTTAGTCTTGTTTTAAGGCAGTCAAAATGTGCTCAAGTTAAGAAACATTTGACCAAATCCATGATATTTTTGCTTAATTTATGTCACATAATTGAAAAAATGACTTACTTAACCCTGTTTTTAAATGAAAACCAATAAATAACATAAAATATCTACAAGCGGTTGGAGCTGAGTTGACCCTCTCAGACTGAGGTGAGTTCTGTGCGAGATTAAATCAAATACAAAGCTGAACAAAGCTGTGGCGTGCTCTTGACTGGCCCAGACCACTGCACCTCCACTGAGATGAAAGATTGTTGTCAGAACTAGACTTAGGCCTCGGTGTAGCCCTGGGGGACTCCAGGCGTGTGGTATATCTCTGTCAAACACTGATTGCCAAGGATCTGTCATCATGTGTGAAGTAATCTTCACACATTCTTGTTTGTGACATTGAATTTGCAAAGGTGCTAAAAAGACCTGCAGTTCATCGTCTTCACCGACAGAAGCTGTTTTATATCGTGACTCTGCCATATCCTCACAGAGAATCAAACACAAGTTTGCCGGTAAACATCACGACCCATTTGCAAACGGGTTACTTCTCTTTATTTTTTATGATTTTACAGAATATTAAGTATTTCCTTAAACATAAGAATAAGCAATTACACTTATTTTCTGAAATCATACAAGATTGCCCTAAATAATAATGGCTCCCATTAGGGTTGTTATTAACAAGTTTAGAAACTGGATGCATCAACTTTCTCAGTTCTGACTATCAGATTAAACAATGGTTGGATTAAAAGTGGCAATTAGAAGAAGATAAAATGTGCATAAATGTGTCTCAGCAATACCCTGCAGTCATCTAATATCAGGTAAAAGGCCCCAGCAGGTATTTGACTCCTTTAAATTGGATTTTTCAATAATGATTCTAAAATACTAAAATCAAACATTACCGCAAACTGCCTTGATGGAAATTATTCAGTGAATGGCTCATCCGTCAATTTCTCAATTTTGCTCTGCTTTATGTGGAGCCCGGTCGTAGAGGCAGCATCAACGCAGCTCTATTTCTATTATAGATTTGTGGTAATTAACGAACATAGTTTCCGGCTCCACTTTTCAGAGCAGGAACTGTTGTGTGTCATTAAAGGTGTGTTGTTGCATATGAAGCTAGTGTTCACATTTTATCTCCAATACATTACTGATACATTGACCATAATACATGTCCTCATTGTGCCAAACGACCACAACTCACCGGTGTTCTGCTTGTCAGGAACATACAAATATAATGTTGGATGAGGGCTTCATAATAAGAAACATGCGACATCTGTCAGAGTGTCTTCCACCTGGATGAGCAGGAACCATGGGCCTTGTCTGCGCACTCGTGTTTGGCAAAGAGGCGTCTGTTTGCTTTTCTCCCACTGATTTGACGAAGTGGAACAAATGCAGTTATTCCACTTATGTTCCCTCACGGCAGGTAGAGATTTGAGTAAATACTGTATCTGTCTATGGGCCATGAAACCAGGCCCAGAACTGTGTTGATGAGAGAGAGGCAGGAAGTCGAGCATCTGCTGCACTGTAAAAGATGAGGGATATTGGATTAAATGAGTGTTTACAGAAGCAAAGAAAGGATATGATCTGTTAAATAAGCAATGTTTTACACACAATATAATTAAGATTGGAGTGCACAGGCAACTGTGCAATTACATCCAAGATAAACTTTAGTCTGACCTGTATTTCCATGCTTCACATCAGGTGTTCCCTTGTCAAAAAGGCAATATTAAATGTGAATTAGTCTGTTTAAAGAGTGTTTCTTCAAACACCTTTGCTCAATGTTTCAGTCAAAGTGAAGTTGATCTGGGGTCACAGTAATGTGCCTGAAGGAGCCGGAGCACAGGTCTGAGCAGAAGACTGAGGTTTCTCTGCAGGCGACGTGTGAAAGAGACACTTTCAAACGTCAGGCTGTCAGGAAGACGGAGCGGCCAATATCACCTGCTCTTACATTCCTTTCTCCTTCTCAACATTATTTTACACACCTCAAAGTCTGCTATTACACTTTACATGTGTGTATCTATCAAACTAATTTACTGTGTAGGCTTTAGACAATTTCATGTGTTTTACAAAGAAAGTAGAAATAATTCACTGATTTTTTAAATTTGTTTATTTCATGTTTAATTGGAAAAAATAAATAACATAAATTGTGAATCACAGATTGATTGTTTTGTTTCATCGTGAATGTTACAATTGTACAAAATTGTCTCATTGAATCATGCAAACACTTCATTGCCTTGAGTCCTTAAAACATAAACCAATATTTAGATTAAATTACTGTACAAAAACATACACAATGGAAACCATCATTTTACTTTTACATCATGTAAAAAAGACATTTTTATTTCTATTAAAACTGTTTTAGCTCAGTTATTTTTTACCAAGATTATTTGTATTTGCTAAATGCCACAATATTGAGAATGTTAAATTTTCAGAATTATTTGAAATACTTTCTTTGTGGTAGTATAGAATTGACATTAAAACTTTATTTGGATCAAATCAGTTGTTTTGGATATTTTTCCACAAGATTATTACAATAACTGAACAAAATTTTGGCCCATTACTCTTGACAGGTTTGTAGACTGCCTTGCTCTCACATCTACCCACATTTTTTCTATTAATTAGATCAGGACAGTGTGATGACTCTTCAAACACACTTTGTCCTTTAACCACTTTGTAAATACTTTATCTGTATAATTTGGATTATTGTCCAGTTAGAAGACCATTGAGATCTTTGTCTTGTGTTTACACATTTTAATCTGACCGAGGAGCAGGGAGTACAACCCTTCAGCCCTCGTCCTGGAGCAGGAGCGCTCTCTTTCCAATGTCGTATGTATTTGGTCTGTTCAGCACTGGACACTTTCTAAGGGTCCATCTCTAGATTCTCAAATTCTCTTCAGCAACAGTTTGCAAAGATGTGCATAGTAGTGACGGATCCAGCCGGCCTCCCGGAGAGGTCGGGACTGGGGCCACCCAGTTTTTTAAAATTAAAACTAGACTTTTTAAATGTAACACATCAATGAAAACACAAGAACAAAGTAATCTTTATGAATGTAAACTTCTGTCATTGCAGAAAGTATTTCAAAAAATCAAGAAATTATTTCTAACAGTCTTGTGGAATTGAGAGAATAAACATTATATTGATAACATTTTTTTTTTAACTTTTAAATAGTGATTTAAAAAAAAAATAATAATAATGACGTGTCTTTTTCCGTTGTGTCTGTGCACCTCTGGTTTCAACTGTGTATATATGATATAAATATGTAACGAATATCATTGTTGTTAGAGAGAATTCAGGAAGCAAAATACGAGCTCTGCATTGAGTAGAGGTGGTCGATGGGGTTTCCGGCCTGAGCTAAGTCTGGAGTGGTCATCAAGCAGTCGCTCAAACTGGTCAGAGACGTGTCACTGTCCATGTCGTGGAACATGGAGTCCCAGCCTGAAGAAACAGAGCACTTTAATATGTAGTTCTCAAACTGACCAGACAATTTTGTTTTTGTAGGATAATTACAATTTCAACATATTTTAATATTGTCTGATATGTAGGTAGAATAATTCCTGCTAATGCCTTTTACAACTGCACTTGCTTCAGTACACGTCTTTTCAAAGTAAATCATGAAAGGAAGTGTCATGAAAACATTGCAGCACAGACGCTCTTCAAGAAGAAAACTTAATAGAAATAATGAATATATAATTGATGAATGTGATGTTGTGCTTTGATGTCGCTGACCGTAAGGGTGCATGTGGTCTCCGGGCATTTGAGGAGGGGTCAGTCCCTGCTGGTACTCTGTGCTGTAGCTGCGGTGATCCAGGCTGAGGACATGTGTGCCTCTGGAGTACGACGTGAGCAGACCTTCCATGCAGCCAGACATCACTTCTGTCAAACAGTGTCGTTAATACTAATCAAAGCAACCATAGATTTGCCATTATTATTGTTTTGGTTCTTTTAGCTCATGCATTGTAATCGTTAAGTCATTTATGGTATTGTATTACTGTATCCAAAATGCACAAATACTGTAAACAGCAGGTGGGGCAGCAGCAGCAGCAGCAGCAGTGGAGCCCCCCTATAATAAAACCTACTGCTAAGCCAATATTGACAAGCTGGGACTCCCTGAACAGAGCCATGCTGCACTTGCCAAACTGAGCACTTATCTAAACTATCAGCTCATATCAGAGAGAGCGCGGAGGAAATATCCGTCTGCTAAGTATCGAGGAGCAGCCACTGAGGACACACTGCTCTGAATGCAGATACATTTAGTCCAATTGATCATTTTGCATTATAGTTTTTCTTCATTGAGAATAAAGCTTTTCCTTAAAGATTGCACCAATTTCCTTGAATGCTGCACAAAATATTGATTTTGTTCAATTTAAACAGTTCAGACTTGAGCCAAAGGAGAAACTGAATAATAAACTTTTTTTTTTTGCGTGAAGCAGCAAAACAAACATATATGCACATCTCTAAACACATTCTATAATATCCCTCCTGCATAATTTTGGTCTGTTTCACGATCGTATTCTATAGAAACAGTTCAAGTTTGTTCGTCTTTAAACCCACTTTTATTCTCTGGCTTTTAACACCGCGTGAGTTGTGTGGTCCCTGTGTCTTTTTAATTTTTGTTTTGTGTTTTATGATTTTTATTGATTTTATAAATTGACTATTTATTTATTTATTTTTTATTCTATTTTTTGTGTACTTTTTTGTGCAGCACTTTGGAACTGTTCTGTTGTTTAAATGTGCTATAGAAATAAAGTGGATTGGATTGGATTGGATTGTATGGTCCAATATGAGGGTACTCTGTAAACTCTTCTAAACTGTTATTTTGTGTCTTCTCCTCAGATTGTTCCATAAACGCTGCACACACTTTTAAATTCATTTAGGACCAAATTCTCCAAACAATGCCCCAAAGCTGAATTATCAATGGTGAAAATGCTGCTGCTCTTTTAGATAAATGACCTATTATTTTTTAAAGACAAAGCATTAGTTTTATACTAACCCACGTCAATCCTTTGAGTGTTGTGCTGCTCCTGCTGTTGCTGTTGTCTGCGCGCCAACTTCTTCATCTGAAACAAACCCAGTCACTTTCCATGAGTTACAGAAAGTAGACTTTCTAACATAAGTATATCATATATAATTTCATTATACACAGTGGAGGTGCTGACCTTGGCTCTCTGGTTCTGAAACCAGACTTGAACCACACGAACAGTAAGACCAGTCTCTGCAGCCAGAGTCTCTCTCACCTGTTCACAAAGAGATCACTAACTCAAAAACAGCGCTGAAAACTCATCTTCCAGCTACCAATATGCCGTCAATCATTGTTTTATCATCTGAGGCACAATCCCCACATGAGATTGGATTTACTTCTTAATGATATTGACAATTAGTGTGGTTTGACAATGACCTTCCGGCAGGGTTTGGAGGAGACCTCAAAGGAGGCTTTGAAAGCCCTCCTCTGCTGAGTGCTGAGGATGGTGCGTGGCCTTTTAGGTCGACGTGGGTCTTTGTCATCGATGGATTTCTCTGTTGTTCCAGAGTCTTTAACATCTGACTTCATATCCAGCTCCTCATCCTCACTCACTGAAAAAGGAGAGCAATAACATGTTGACATTTGTGAAAATAAAGACAACATATACAGCAAGATTGGCTCATGCCTGAGTCTGAGCTGACTGGAGTGACGGTGTTGAGCATCTCTCTTTCATAGTCGCTTTTGCAGAGCAACTGTTCATCCTTCAGCACAAACTGGTCTCCTTTACACAGCTGTCGCTCACAGACGCAGCAGCAGAAGCAGCTCAGGTGGTACACTCTGTCAGGAGCTCGCATCACCAGCTCTGAAGGCGAGATCTGCTCCAGACATCCACTGCATTTCCTCCAAACCAGCCTGAAGACAAAACCTGAATCTTATAATCTTATCATTATCTTTAAGAAATACTACCATTAGGTGGCTTCATTTATCTGTAAAACCCATCTTCAAATAAATGTTGTAATATATTCTCACTGTAAACATAAAGTCATCTTCAGATTCTGGGATCAGACCACACAGAGTTTGGCAGCGTACTCGTTGGCACCATTCAGTTCCTTGAACATGTTCATAATGAAGAGTCCTGGTCCTCACAGGTGTGGCTGTTGTTGTTGTGTTCGGTTCACAAATGAGGATTTGAGACAATCTAATTATGAAAGTTAATGATGCAGTTTTGTCGCTGAGGCCAGATGACAGACTACAGGAGCGCCGGTAGAAACTGAGAACGGGATGGGATTAAATTACGCTTTCCTGTTGTTTCAACATTCAGATTCATCCCGCAGGGCATTACATTTTGCATATCTTGCATATCAACATGAAATGTCTTGCTTTCACAGAAGAAAGATGTGTGATTTTTATAAGTTGCAATCAAGTTTGAAATATTTTGATAATCTTTGTCGAGCCGTACAACTCAGTACCCATCAATCCATTTTCTTCCCCTTAATCCATTTCTGGGTCAGGGGTGGTGGCAGTCAGAGCTGCACCAGTCCACAGTAGCACCAGCCCTCACTGATCCTCCTTTCATGTGGTGAGTCCACAGGAGCTGAGATCTTTCAGTGGAGGCTTTGGGCAAAGTAGGGTTAAGTGTGTTGCCCAGGGGACACAACGACAGCAGTCATCAGTGGGAGTCGTGAAGTAGGCCGTACGCTTTGGCTCGAACCCAGGACCTTCAGGCCCAAAGGCCAATGCTCTACCAACTTAGCCTCAGTATGGCTACATCAAACTTTCCTTTCCCTAAGCCACTGGTCCAATTTTTTGTAGGTGCCGGTAATGTGCTTTTTGCCACTACCACAGGAGGTTTTGGGGGGGGGGGGGGGGGGGGGGGGGGGGTGGGGGGGGGGGGGGGGGGGGGGGGTGCAGGGGGGTGGCGGGTGGGGGGGGGGGGGGGGGGGGGGGGGGGGGGGGGGGGGGGGGGGGGGGTGGTGTGACATGCTGGCAGAGCCTGTGAACACGCAGGCCAATCCGCTCCATGTCTATTCAACGTCCAATTGTGCATTAATGTGCCCCCGGTTTTTATACACGAGGACGCTGCAACAGTAATCTTAGAGTTAGTGGATTGCCTTTAGGGGGGGTGAAAAACAACAAACGTAAACCACAACGGTCGGTGGGGTAAACTAATGTACGTGTGCTTCGAGATATACACGGGGAGGATCCTATCTCCTTCGTTGTACAAACGAAACCACGCGAGGTTCTAGTTTCAGTGTCATTTCTGCTGCTCGCTTTTAAAAGCAGAATCGTTTCCTCGCAGTGTAGAGGCTGCGCACTTCAAAATAAGGAGCCTGGTCGTTTTTGCTTAATTGCTTTGCAGCGTCTCCACAGCATATCCGCAGGGTCTCCGTCTAAAAAGGGCCTTAGTGACCCCTATAGACCTGTCTTTTCGACATATACGTTACAGAGTAATACGTAAGTTTTAATTAAACCTGTATCCATCAAGGCTCGATGGCCCCACTCCATGGCTTACAATAACTGGGCCACAAGAAGAATCCTTAACCAAGTCATGATCCCAAAAAGAAATGTGAAAATACATTTAGAAACATTCTATTAAACTAATCTTGCAGGAATTTAATCAAGATAATAAATAGAACAATGCAGGCCCCTTAAGCAAGTGACAGAGGTGATGTTATCATGTTCCTCTTCAGTGCTCTCTTCCTCATGCTGTACGTCATTAACGGTGCCCACCTATTACTATCAATTCAAATAGGAGCGGTTTGTGCATCTGCCAGCCGTCTGTTACTGCAACCAATACTCCAGTTGTAATGCCTGAGTGATGGCTCAGGCACCCCTGCTATTCAGCTCGACCTATAGTGAGGTCAGCTGTGACTTCTGACCAACACTTTGACCTGGTGATTTTACATGGAAAACCATTACTCGAAAGTACATTTTATGAAATTCTACACTGAACAAATTAACACTATTAATTTATGCAAGTGGTTCAGTTGGTGGAAGCATTGGTACTAAGGGCCTGGTTCAAGGACCTGTCCACTGACACCTGCTGTTAGTTGTGTCCCTGGGCAAGGACACTTAAACCCCACTTTGCCTGAAGCAAAACCTGCAACCATTCTTGTGGATCCACAACCTGTCTTATTTCTGGTTGCTATGAAGATTGGGTCGGAGATTGGATTGCCAACCCCGACCCAGAGATGGTTTAGTAAAGGGGTTGAACATGAATAATTAATGAATGTATGTTTTTACATAAATGCATGCATTTCTTTTGAAGGAGTGGCAAAGATGGGAGATGGCAAATATAGACTTCTGGGCCAACCCACTCAGTCATGGTAGGCCTAAGAGTGGAATGGGAATGAGTAGAAGCCACAGAATAATGTTACTCAGAGACATAACATTGTAGTTTAGTCATATGTCATTATGTAATATACACTTTTGCTTGGAAATTATTCACACCCAGCCAGAAATAATCCATTGTTTAGGGCCATATTTTGGAGATAGATTATACATAAACACTTTTTTCACACATTGTAGTAGTTGTGTGAGGCTTGCCACTGTCAAAAAAACATGTATCCTTATTCATGATTATTTGAATCGATTCTGGGGAGTTCAAGGCAAGGTGGCCCAGAAATTAACCGGAACTGGAACACTATTACCCATCCCAAAATGAAACACCCCTACAGCCCCTTCCCCTCATCGTAACTGTATATGGTGTATGTATGTGCTGTGAATGTGTTCTAGAAAGTCTGGATTGGGACTTGTCAAATTAGAGGTTTTGCAGTATTTTGTTTATATACAGTCTCTAAAGCCTGGTTTGTGTGCTCCATGTCTTGCCTCTTAATCTGTTCTGTATGTACATTCCAACTCAGACATTTCCCCAAACTCGAAGGTTTCATATCTTATCTTCTTATACTTGTCCTGCACCAAGCCTGGATAACCAGAGTGAGGCCTTAAAAAATTAGTGAACACTTAACAAAAAGACAAGTCTTATTTCCAGTACTAAAACATGGACTCATTTAGGCTTAGTATCATCTATTTGGTTGCTGTTCTGTGCAATAGTAAGAGCAGATTTTTAGCCATACGCCAAAGTCACTACCTTAATCTAAAGTAGTATTGACTGGACGTAAACGGGTAGTAATGGTAATTTACTTTTCTTGTAAGTGTGGGTGTAGCTCATGCAGCTGAAGGCTGTGGGCTTGTATGGAGCAGGACTCGAGGCTCGGATATTGACAGACGGAGCCCGGGGCAAACCTTTTATATTTACTGATTGAACTGTAGGCTCTCTTGTCTCTGGATCCACTCTGTATAATAGCTAACGCTTACGAGCTCTATCCCCGCTGAGTGCATTGCCGTTATATCTTGAAAAATCCTCTCTCAGCGCTCAGAATCACTTAATTCTGTTTTAGGTTGTAGCTGGCATTTATAGCTTGTTCTGATCATACAGCTCAATGGAAGAAATAGCACAGTAAAGACATATACAGTATGTTAAGAGGATCTAGGATTGTGTCTGGTTGGCGTTTCATTCATAGTTACACGGCTTTATGCTCACAGCGCTGACAGTATTGAGCTTGTAAATGCATTGTATGAGTATACACAGGGTTTGCCGTTTGGTTTACTGCTCATTGTAGTAAAAAGGCCAAAGGACTCTCTCAGTCATTCATCGATGCTGATTGAATTGGCCTGACGGATTTCCCAGAGGACGGGAGAAGTTGTGGATCTAATTGCTTGTCTGGATGTTTTCAGTAGTAAGAAGGAGTTGAACTTTTTCATTCACTTCAGGAACTAATGTGCTGGAAAATGACAATAATTTTCAACTTTAAAAGGCTCTTTCTCTGTTCTAATTTTCCCAGTTCATATTAGTGATAAAATAAAAATCCTCACATATTAATGTTTTCCCCTATGTCGCATTCATTTTTTCACAGTCAAACCTAAGTACATGTTGTGATAATAATTTTGGTATCACACCTTACAACAATCCAACATAACATTTATATCATCCCATTTCTTGCTTAGAGGTGATGTCACCTCAATTTGAACGGCTGGCAATCTGTGCTTCTACGCTGTGAGCCTGTCTCCCAAAGCCCGCGCGGTATGTAGCCTCGCGTTGATTTATTATTCAAGTCAGCGAAAGCAAACTGTTCAGGCTTTCTGCCGGTACATAGTTATTTCAGACCTGAGAATAAACTTTTACCAAACAATGGCTGGACGGTCCCATTGAGCCCTATGTCCTTAATCCAGAAACAGACCCTAATTATTTAGTTAGACAGTAGTATATGGTAGTTTATTTAACTTATAGGCTGCACGATATTGGAAAATTAGAACCATATTCCAATTTGGCTATTAGTGTTTTGATAAACAATCATTATGGGGCATATTTTTGTCGTTCACCTAAAATGCAATCTGCGTTGACCGCAAGATAAAACAACATTAATTAAGTTTGCTCAGATATGAACCTCAAATCTTGCCTGAAGTTGCCAAACAACAGTGATTAATGCCCTTTTGCGCATTGCCTTTCGTTTGACTGGATTAGGCGGAGAAGCTTTAGTTTGTAATACACAGCATAAGTTCCTAGTGGTTACTGTGCTGGAGGTGGCTCTGGGAGATTGTTGAGTTTCCCTTCGACGTAGCAACTATCTTTCGGCATGACTGGCAAATAACCTGTTTCTGTGATGGGTCCTGCCTTTGTAAATCCAGAGAGTCCAGTGCGAGTACAAAAAAAGCATAAACAAATATATAAAAATCAATTGCACTCCTTTTAGTTATGGTTATTGCACAAAAAAATATCCCAATGACAATATTTTTTCGATATAATGTGCAGCCATAGTACCGACGAGTTAGTTGCATTGTTTTACAGTGATGCTCTATTATTGTGGAATAAAAACCAGGTTTCAAAAGCAGATATTCTTGAATGTGACTCAAAAATGGAGCATTGTGTTGATGAACTATTTATTAAAAAACCTCCAACGAAGCCGGCTGCTTTTTGAGAAGAGGTGGGACGTCTGTGTTTCTTCTGCTGCCCTACAGACCCTCCGGCAAGCCAAGTGGAACACTCCGGACCTGCTCCCTCTGACTGAGGACGTTAGAGCCATGCATGCACATATTGAGGTATGTCGACCTGAATATGTGCAAACCCTAATAAGTGAGCCAACGTCTAAGCATTGGTCTAAACTGGCAGTTTTGACTCTTTGTGAGGTCATTATTTTCAATCGAAGAAGGGAAGGTGAGGTTTCAAAGATGCCACTGACAGCCTTTACCTAAGATGTAAGACTGGGATCCATTCTGACATTGCTCTGGGACTGTCCCAACTTGAGAAAAAGCTGTGTCAGCATTTTCAACGCATTGAAATTAAAGGGAAAAGAAGTCGGAAAGTGCCGGTTCTTTTGACTCCTGAAATGATTGCTTCGATGGAGGTGCTGGTGGAGAACAGAAGGGCCTGTTCCATCTCTGACCATAACCCATACTTCTTCTCCCGCCCGGGCGCAGACACCCACATCAGGGGATCAGACTCCCTACGCCAGGTAGCCAAAGAATGTGGTGCGGTGCATCCAGAGATGCTATCCTCAACCAAACTTAGAAAGCACATAGCTACTATGTCTACAGTTCTCAATATGAAAGAGAATGAGATGGACATACTTGCCAACTTCCTCGGCCATGACATTCGCATCCACAGACAATATTACAGACTACCAGAGGGGACACTGGAGCTGGCCCAAAATCAGCAAAGTGTTGATGGCCATGGAGCAGGGAAGAGTGACGGAATTCGAAGGAAAGAGCCTCGACCAGATACAAATTGAGCCTGAAGGTAATTCTTGATATTATTAAAATATGTATGATTTTTTTCCCCTAAAGGCCACTTGTATTTTTATTTTCTGTGCGACAGGGAGAGCAGTAGAGATCCTCTCACAAACGGACGGGCTAAAAGAAACTTCAAGCGGAGAACCTTCAACCATTCATCCAGATGCACCCCATGGTAGTGGCAGTGCCCCTTCTGGTAAGTGTACCAGGTGGGGGATTACAGCCAGGCTGCTTGGTCCTAACCCTGGGAGTGTATATTGCTAATATATTTTTATTTCTCTCCCTAGAACGTGTAAGAAAGCCATGGTCTGCATCTGAGGTGAGGTGTGTGTGTGTGTGTGTTAGTGTGAGTGTGAGTGTGAGTGTGTGTGTGAGTGTGTGTGTGTGTGTGAGTGTGTGAGTGTGAGAGTGTGTGTGAGTGTGAGTGTGAGAGTGTGTGTGAGAGTGTGTGTGAGAGTGTGTGTGAGTGTGTGTTAGTGTGAGTGTGTGAGTGAGTGTGTGAGTGTGAGAGTGTGTGTGAGTGTGAGTGTGAGTGTGTGTGTGAGTGTGTGTGTGAGTGTGTGTGTGAGTGTGAGTGTGAGAGTGTGTGTGAGTGTGAGTGTGTGTGTGTGTGAGTGTGAGAGTGTGTGTGAGTGTGTGTGTGTGTGTGTGAGTGTGAGAGTGTGTGTGAGTGTGTGTGTGTGTTTTAGTGTGAGTGTGAGTGTGAGTGTGTGTGTGTGCGCGCTAATTTAAGGATATCTTAAAATAGCAGATATTGTCGTGAAGGTTCTTCTCACAGCTGATATCAACATTGCTACATAAAACAATGAAAATAAAGCACAGACGTGAGCATACAGCGTGGAACAGTGAGAGTTATAACAAGTCGTTTATCACCGTAACTTTAACTGCTAAGTGTATACATACAGACGTAAACATTGGTCAGCTGTCAGCAAAGGCGTCCAAACTGCCCCGTTGTGGAGAATGTGTGTAAATGCTGTGAATGTTGGGCCTCTGTCACTGCTCTCATTAGCAACAAGACCTGCACTCACAGTGGGTTTTCATTATAACACAGTATTTCATATTTTATTTGAAATGAAAAATGCATATTGTAATTTTACCCAATAATGCAGCCATTAACCAATAATAAACAAAATGTATAGATTGTAATAATAATCATATTCTGAAGCTACTTTGAATCATAGTGGCACCAAATGGCAGGATCACATTCATTAGGACAGGTTTTGTATTGTTTTGCCTTTTCTTTGTAAATAAACGAGACGCCCACAACACAAACGACCAGAAATACTTGTCGGATACCAAAAGGCTGTGACAGTTACGATCAAAGTGTATGAGCAGAGAGCTGTAATATTGTGGGCAGATTGGCGCAGGTTTTGGATGAGCCCTGGGGGTCTGGCCTCAGTCCGGGTCCCTAGAGTCCCACTGCAGCGACAGAACGATTAAGTGGAGAAAAGAGGAGGGTCCAGATTTCGGGCCAAACACAGCCTGGCAAACATGTAGCTGAGCAGGGAGCAGGGAGAGGACAGAGGAATCATCGTCAGATTACACTCTGAATGCAAATATGGACATTTTTGCCAGTGTAAACTACACTTGGCTGCCAAGGACAATCTACCACCAACAAAACCCAGACTTTTCACTTGTGAAATCTAAAAACTGAAGCAAAATTTCACCAATATTATAATAAATTGTAAAATAAAAAATAAATTGAGGAAAATTGTCTAATTTGCTGGTACAGAATGGCATCATATACAGATAGGAAATGCATTGCAATAACTGCAGGTGAATAATTATATAATTATCACACGGCTCCTCGCAGTAGAACGCTCCATTGATTTGTAATTTCAAAATGTTCTACCGGTCATAATTTCTTGATAACCGACCACTCACAACGATAATGACCGCTGCCCATGGCAACGCACCCTCTGCTTGTAAATCACATGTGTAGATTACTCCCTAAGTAGTCCGGCCACTTCGTCGCTACTACTGTCTCTGCGAGAGAAGCTATCAGAGCTAGCCACGCTCAATAGACACATATAACAATCGATCAACACATTTAAATGTTAATTGGAGAATACATTATACATATACATTTGTAACACACCTGCAGGTTTTCAGAATTATTTGTTGACGTTTTCATGACAAAAATACTGTTTTAATGTGACAAAAAGCGATAGTGGTAAACCCGGAAGTAACCATTAACATGAAATAACATTTTAAGACACATTTGCAGAGGATCGAATTATGGATTTAGGTTGAGTATATGTATGGGTCACTCACCCATGTTTACTTAGTCCTTTGATTAAGTAAACATGTGATAGTATTTCTAAAGACGTTCATTTGATCATTTGTCTTTATTTCAGAGCTGAGATGGTTGTCCTGGCCCGTATTGTGTTATGGCTAGACTGAAACAATACATCATTAGCCGAGTCTGAGCAACTTCATCAAAACATGTTTAAAAGGCAAGGAGTGTCCACACCACAGTCTGTCAGTGCGACTTGTTTACTGCAGTAAAAATAAAGGATTGAACAGAACAAACTCTGGGACGACATAAAGCCATGTACAGACTGTGTAAGTTATGACTAAGACGCCCCTCACCCCCAACAGCCCGCTGATTTGGCGCTGCTCCTGGGGCTCACCCTTTGATCCTCCATTGTGAAATCATTCTGAGAAGCCGTCATTTGCAGGGCACTTTCTGAGATGCACTTTGGCACATGCAGGCAAAGTTTAAAAAGCTATTGAATATAACAAAGTTGTATTAGAGAAATAAGTAAAGACTTTATTACAGTACACTTCCTTCTTTTCTATCTTGTCACTACGTTTTGTTTTCAAATCATTATTGCATGTAGCGTTCTGGTCCTGAAATGTTCTCTAACCATTCAAATGTGGCAACAAATCCCATTAGCGTGAGACAAAAAGCACACAGCAATATTTGTCTTTAAGTGTGTTAAAAGTACTGCCATTTTTCCCAAATAGAGAGTCCTCCAACACTCTGTTTTTGAAACACTGTGCTGGAAGAAGCAATACCTCTCTATTTCCAATGACAGAATATTTAATCATCTTGCCTCCTGTTTGAAGTCCAGATGGGGTCATGGGACCATTTGCATCAATCACAGAGCTGAGAGTACTGCTGAGGCACAGGGGTAAGGACAACCTGTGGCTGTCAGAGCCGGAGCCTCAGAGGAGCTGTAACCCTATCTGCAAACTGTCGACCAAGACTGTTTTTGTAGCTCTGAGCCAAAGTGTTGATCAGCTGCCATTCCCAAACACTGCACTGGCGTTTAATGGACTCTTGCTGCTTCTGCTGCTGTTTCTGTGGTCGCTCTGATGGGACATATTTACAGTCTGGATGTCCTGCTGTGGTCAGAAGAGGACTGGCTCACGGGGGTCAGACCTGTGATTGATATGGCACAGCGCTGCTCCACTAACTCTCATAGAAAGAAAACTAAACAAAAGCCTACAATTAAATGTCACTGGATAATTTGGACAATCTTTAGAATTGCATGTGCACACGGATATAATTGTGCAGTTTGTTTCACCTACAGCTGTATACTGTATGTGTGGCATATGTTTAAGTATAAATAATACATTTGTCTAAAACAGATATTTAAAATGCATTTAAGGATGTAAAAACATGAATATACTAATCACAGGTAATAATTGATAAATTGCTCCATTACTAAATTAATCGGCAGCTGTTGCCCAACTCCTGAAATATACCCCTGCATGATGGTGTGAAACCAGCTCCCACTGGTGAATGCTGCTGCTCTGCCTTTTGGCAAGACACTTAAACCACATCACCCCCAGTGTTTGCGTAAACTGGGTGTGATGTGTGTGTGGGACATGATCTATGTTGAAAACAAGACTGTTCTATGTCCTGGTTAAAAATCATGCATTTAACCCTTTGATTAAACTTTGTCACATATCACATTCTGAGAGGGACAAGCATGTTCTCCAAACCTAAAGAGATTCTCATCTTTGTAATCGTGGGATTTAGAATTCAGATATTACAGAGATTGTTACCACTTACATTTAAAGTAGGTCAGCAAAGCAAATCCTAAGGGACTAAGTATGGGCGAAAGAAAAAGTTTGAATTGTATTAATTGTAGACAGCTGTTTTAGAGGGAAATGGACAGAAAGGAGGAAACACATATAAAACATTTACATCATTTTTAACCTTCACCAAATTAGACACTTTGGTGCTACTTCTGGAGCATACACTTGCTTTTACATCTGAATAATTTGGGTTTTAGTATATAACTTTAGAATAACTGTATGTTCTGCCATGTATTCTGCCACTTCACTGCGACGTGATCATCCACAGTTCACACAGTGGCACGCTGCATATGGTTCCCTTTTCCAGCATGCGATAGAAACTAACGGAAGGAAAATATATATTTCAGAGGTGAACAACGTATTATTTGTTTTACAATTTATTTATTTTCTATTTTACTGCTACCGCTATTTTGTTGCTTGTCATCCAAATGCTATAAAATCTATGACATTGTTTGGGGCCCGTTGGTAGCTTCTGGGCCCTCAATCATCTTCGTATTGTTATGCTATTAGCTATTAGTTAAGGTGACATTCAATTCAACTTTAAGTCCAATATAAAACAGACAGACGCACAAGACATCAATTCATTATCAGACAAACTAACAAACGTGACTTTAAAATACCAGTGTTTCCTCATCGTGACAGTTACAGACATGCTTGTTACATGTAATTGAACATTACCCAATAAAAGTCGTTCGTTCAGTTCGATCCTTGAAAGTGTGGTGGTGTGTGCCGAGGGCCTGCCGTCACTTACTGTCGGTAATGGTTCTTGCAGTAGAGTTTGGTGTCCCGGAAGTAGCAGGTGGCGGTGAGCGGCTGCTGGCACGCGGCGCACTGCAGGCAGCGCTCGTGCCAAAAGGCGCCGTTCACGCACATCAGGAAGCGCTCTGAGATGAGGCGCGTGCACCCTGCGCACGCGGGCCGCTCTGAAACACACCATTATGCTTTAGGCCTCAGCGGTCTCAAACTCAACAACAATGGTATACCTTTAAACACAATAACAGTCTTATCTACCCAATGGATTTATAGTATTTTAAATGAACTATCAGGAAATGAGAATGAAAAAAATCATGCTCGCATTTCTCACAAACCTCATCAAATGCAAGCAGACATTAGGAGTTCTGCTCTGAGCCCGTGGAATTAAAATAAAGTGTATAAATAATCAGTTTAGGCCTACATATTGTATGTTTGTGAATATTCACAAACTAGGCCTATGTTGAAGGTTAAATGACAGCTAATAACAAATGTAATCTACATATATAAAGTCGTGTTATGGTTCCAGGTGTATGTACTTTAAAATGAGTAATCGGGATATATGACTGTTTCCCAGATTAGAGCCTACGTAATGTTTTTTTCCAAAAAGGATTGGGATTAGCTAATTCAAAAATGTTCATATACACGACTGATCGGTCCACGTTTGAATTATAGTTCCTACAAAAACGCTCCCACGGTTTTCTCCAGTTCAGTTTAAACGAGTTCGACAAACTGTCACAGGCACTAAACTGTGCGTGAGCATCCGTAACTTGACGTACCAGTGATCACCGGCGGAGAGCAGGTCCCGGTGCGCGTACACGTCTCCACTTTGATGCAGTCGAGCATCTTCAATCCCCGCGCGCTGTCCTCCGCGCGTGCACTTGTGGTCAGACGCTGAGTCTTTGTGTGGAAATGTCCAGACTGGCGCAGCCTCACCTCAGACGTCTTTTATGTCCGCAGATCTACGTCCAGTCCGAGCTCTGCCGCCGCATCCAGAGGTGAGGAGTCCCTGAACTTGTGGAACCATCTCGTGTCTGCGCCTCACGCAGGAGGACCTCGCCCCGCGCTGCTCCCACACGACAATTGGCCTGTGAGCATTGGTCCCACCTCCTCATGCACTTTTTTGGTGAGTGGTTTAAAACCCCAAAACAGAGCGTTTAGCCTCAAATATGCTTTTGGAAATTAACCTGAAGTAATTTCCAGAAAACTCCACAGTTATAAAATAGCTTCATAAGAATATTAAAGTATATGAATACACAACTATATCCTCTGAAATCAGTTAGGCCTGCAAATCCTTCTTAGCGTAATGCTTTTGCTGAATATTGCCAAATGTTTTTTTCTAAATCAAACACTCAAAATTTGGTTAAAATAACCAAAATAACCCGCATGTTTATAATGTATATTGATTATATTTGGTAAGCTAATCATAGTGAATCACTAGATCCCCCATTTGAAATGTATTCCCAACACAACGATGCAGAAAGGACCCGGCGCGGGCCCAGACACACGGGTCATCTTCAGTATGCTGTAGACCTGAGCTCTGATCGAAATCACACCATTCTAAAGGATAAGGAGAGGAACACTGTATGATGATGATGATCCGCACAGGAGTTCCTCCTCCTCCTGTAGTTCGGTAAAGTTAGCTTGATATTCACAGATTCGGACTTCCGCGGTGAATATCTTACGAAAGCTACGTTGTTAAACGAAAGTAATTGTGCCAAAATGATCACCTCTACATGGGCTAACTACTACAACATCGATTTTTCTAATCCAATGCGCTGTTTTAATGCAGAGAAATCCATTGAATCCAATGCGCCGCAAGTGCCGAGAAAAGCACTTAGGGAGCGTCAACAAATGCCAATACCAGCTGTGTAAACGAACAATAGTTTTTATTTTAAGCCAAGTACACGCACTAAACTCTCAAATACTATAAATAGCTACCATATCTAACTACTACAACCTTTGTTTTCAGCATTTGTTTCTTTTTTGTATTTTTTATGAATAAATATGATTTAATATGAATATGAATTTTGAATAACTTTTTTTCAAAGAGGGGCGTGGTCACCAAATTCTCAGGTATGATCAATAACTGCCATATCTAACTACTACAACTTTTGTTTTCAGCAGAAATATCTTTTTTATATTTTTTATGATTAAATATGAATATGAATTTTGAATAACTTTTTTTCAAAAAGGGGGCGTGGTCACCAAATTCTCAGGTATCATCAATAACTGCCATATCTAACTACTACAACTTTTGTTTTCAGCAGAAATATCTTTTTTATATTTTTTATGATTAAATATGATGAAATATGACTACAAATCTTGAATAACTTTTTTTCAAAAAGGGGCGTGGTCACCAAATTCTCAGGTATCATCAATAACTGCCATATCTAACTACTACAACTTTTGTTTTCAGAAGAAATATCTTTTTTATATTTTTTATGATTAAATATGAATATGATTTTTGAATAACTTTTTTTCAAAAAGGGGCGTGGTCACCAAATTCTCAGGTATCATCAATAACTGCCATATCTAACTACTACAACTTTTGTTTTCAGCAGAAATATCTTTTTTATATTTTTATGATTAAATATGATGAAATATGACTACAAATCTTGAATAACTTTTTTTCAAAAGGGGCGTGGTCACCAAATTCTCAGGTATCATCAATAACTGCCATATCTAACTACTACAACTTTTGTTTTCAGCAGAAATATCTTTTTTATATTTTTTATGATTAAATATGAATATGATTTTTGAATAACTTTTTTTTCAAAAAGGGGCGTGGTCACTAAATTCTCAGGTATCATCAATAACTGCCATATCTAACTACTACAACTTTTGTTTTCAGAAGAAATATCTTTTTTATATTTTTTATGATTAAATATGAATATGATTTTTGAATAACTTTTTTTCAAAAAGGGGCGTGGTCACCAAATTCTCAGGTATCATCAATAACTGCCATATCTAACTACTACAACTTTTGTTTTCAGCAGAAATATCTTTTTTATATTTTTATGATTAAATATGATGAAATATGACTACAAATCTTGAATAACTTTTTTTCAAAAAGGGGCGTGGTCACCAAATTCTCAGGTATCATCAATAACTGCCATATCTAACTACTACAACCTTTGTTTTTTGTATTTTTCTCTTTATATTCTTTGTGATGAAATATGACTACAAATCTTGAATAACTTTTTTTCTAAAAGGGGCGTGGTCACCAAATTCTCAGGTATGATCAATAACTACAATATCTAACTACTACAACCTTTGTTTTTAGCAGAAATACCTTTTTTCATATTTTTTATGATTGAATCTTCAATGGCTTTTTATAAATGGAGAAGAGTCCTTTACGAGGGTTAACAGGAGTATGAATTAGACAGACTCTAATGTTTTAAAACATTTATTAAAGATTGATTTGTATGTGAAGGTGCGGACCTGTAAAGGAAAAGAGTGTGAGTTAAGGAAAATGAATAAATGTACAACATTTAAATATACTTATCTTTTACTCCCTTGTCTGCCCTCTTTAGGCGTTCCGGCCAAATAAGTCCTGAGGAGCCGGAGCACCTAAAGAGGATTCCGGGTTCATCCACTCTGCAGAGAGGGTGGAGGGGTTTCCTGGGTTTTATCTTTCCAGTTTAGTATAGTTTTAGAATAAATAAATCATTTGTAAATTTAAATAATAATAATAAAAAGAGTGTAAAAGCACTACTTTAATTATTGCTGTAGGGCTGCAGTTAGTATTGCTTAATTACTGTCATATGCTATAAAAGCAGGCCACCAACTCTGAACAGAGAGAGTGTTGCATGACATGCTGTCCAATGTAAATAAACCTGCACCCTGGGTGTGCACTTTGTTTCCTCCAACATCTTCATAAGTGCCATCCTGACATGACAAAAGTGTCACAATCTTCAATAAATTTTGTTCTAAAAGGGGCGTGGTCACCAAAATCTCAGTTATAATCAATAATTAACATATCTAAGTACTGCAACCTTTGTTTGCAGCATTTATCTCTTTGTTACATTTTTATGATTAATTATCAATCTTCAATAGCTTTTGTTCTAAAAAGGGGGCGTGGTCACCAAATTCTTCAGAATGTGATAAGAGAGCAGTGTTGTGTCCATTGCACAATGGTATGTGATATTTGATAATTGTATATACTATGTGTATTTGCATATTACTCATAAAATAATGAAATGTAATTCCTGTTACAATAGAACATTATTTTATCTCCGTAGCAGTGGAACTGGACCACATCCAGCTTTGTGGAATCAGCTTCAACACCACTGACAAACCCATGAGATATTTTAATTATTGGTTATACCTGAGAATTTTGTGACCACGCCCCTTTTTGAAAAAAAGTTATTCAAGATTTGTAGTCATATTTAATCATAAAAAATATAAAAAAGATATTTCTTCTGAAAACAAAAGTTGTAGTAGTTAGATATGGCAGTTATTGATGATACCTGAGAATTTGGTGACCACGCCCCTTTTTGAAAAAAAGTTATTCAAAAATCATATTCATATTTAATCATAAAAAATATAAAAAAGATATTTCTTCTGAAAACAAAAGTTGTAGTAGTTAGATATGGCAGTTATTGATGATACCTGAGAATTTGGTGACCACGCCCCTTTTTGAAAAAAAGTTATTCAAAAATCATATTCATATTTAATCATAAAAAAATATAAAAAAATATATTTCTGCTGAAAACAAAAGTTGTAGTAGTTAGATATTGTAGTTATTGATCATACCTGAGAATTTGGTGACCACGCCCCTTTTAGAAAAAAAGTTATTCAAGATTTGTAGTCATATTTCATCATAAAAAATATAAAAAAGAGGCAAATGCTGAAAACAAAGGTTGTACAAGTTAGAAGTGTTAGTTATTTATTGTGTCCTAGAGTTCTGTGCGTGTACATGGCTTCAAGTAACAGCTATTGTTCGTTTACAAAGCTGGTATTGATACTTGTTGACGCTCCCTATGCGCTTTTCTCGGCACTTGGATTGAATGGATTTCTCCGCATTAAAACAGCGCATTGGATTTGAAAAATCGATGTTGTAGTAGTTAGCCTAAGTAGAGGTGATCATTTTGGCACCATTACTTTCGTTTAACAACGTTGCTTTCGTGAGATATTCATGGCGGAAGTCCGAATCTGTGAATATCAAGCTGACTTTACCGAACTCCGCACAGGCCCGAGCCAATATATGTTCTATTGACCCTTTTATTGACGGAATAAAAAAGAAAACAAACAACAATTGTGAAGCACAGCAATGCAGCCATCTTCATAAAAACGAGAACTTGACTCAGAAAAAGCATTGATTTGTGAAATGTCATCATATTAATGCTTTATTCTGAGTCGCTGTAAGGCAAAGTTACAGCCTAACTTTAATCAAGTTGATCTGCAAGCCAATAGCCGATTTGACGTGTATAGGTTCTATACTTTAGTATTACTAGTTTATTCTATTTTAGTTCTAATTATGTCAGTGTGACATTTCTGCGCGCGGTTGGGTTGGCTCTGGGTCGATTAGTCACGCCCCCTGGTGGGTAAAGACAGAATTTCATATTACTCGAATGTTGAGTGTGGTGGATTATAGGAGGCTTATAAATTGTCTTGCAAAGTATCTAGTTACTCCTCCATGGACTACCAATCATTTCACTCGGACTAGTTTATATAACATATAAACAAACAACATTTCTGCTTTTCAATTCAATTACAGGCTGAATTTGATAGTGTGCTTCTTGAGAAACTGTTCTTATTGACATAAAGCATATAATGAGCACCTGTTATACGCCGACCTGTGTTCATTGCACATTTTGTTGTATGTTTTATATTATAACCGTGTGGTTGTTGAATTGTAACCTATAGAGCTCTACAGTACAATACACACTGTAGTTTGTGTAAGCTCTCAGTCATACAGGGATTAGTCAAAACAAAGGAAGGCTTCTCGCCCATCATCTGTACTTCAGATGATGGATGCTAACTGAAGAACAGATGATGGGTGAGAAACCTTCCTTTGTTTTAATACACACTGTAGATTGATGCAATCTCGAGGGTGAAATGACTTGCATAGACACAACAGCACTTTGTCTCCCATCCAATTATTGCCCAGGGTCTGACTTACTTAGCTTCTAGGATTAGACTTGAATATCAAAAAGCATTGGAAACATTGAAAATCAGGCCCATTTCGGTACAAATTATATGCAGAGGACCCACTTGCCAATATTTTTGAATATAGTAATGGACTACTTTGCAGACACTTTGACATTTTACAAAAGTCCTTCCTAGGGTGCATCTCTTCGTAAGGCCTATATCATTTGCAAGCATGTTGCAAACACCTTTGTGTGAATCCATGTTTTTTAAGGAATAGATATTGGTCTTTTGAGCATTGGTACACAATGCTCAAAAGGCTGTATCCCTGACTTTGAAGCTATATCAAAGAGCCCAAAGCATCAACACAAAGTAGCAGTAGATGCGGAAATGTACATAAAACACTGAATAGTTCAACACTTATCTATTGTCTATCAACATTACATTTTGGTTGTAATAACTGGGAAATGGCTGGTTTCATGTGAGTCTAATCGCACCAGTTATGCTGCCCACATTTAGACCTCTGTCCTATTTGTTTTGGACACTCTATGGAGGAAAAGGATGAATCCTGTGGGTCTAGAATGACATGTGGCCCACACACGACAATCTGCTTACTTGTAAATAAGGATTTTAGTCAAAGGCATCGTTAAAACACTTCATAAACACAGTTCAAACTGAGGTTGTGGAAACACATGTGGTTATTTTGGTTAAGGAGCAAAGCCTATGACAGTATACACAAGTCTTTATCTGTGAAATAGTTTGAACTCAAAGGAATATAAAACGTGTGTGTGGCCCATAAACAGTTTAGCACCAACAGCATTGACGTCCTTCTTTGTTTTATATCTGCAACAAAACATCAAAAAAATGGTGCTTTTTCTAGTCTCATAGAACCATCAAATTAACACAACTGAGAGTTTGAATAAAATGCACTTTTTCTTACTATGAGTCTAACGCGAAGCCCTTTCTCTTACAGGTTTAGGTCACTGCACAACATTTGACGATATGCAAATAATGTGTAAATTAGTTTTCTAAATAAATACTATTAAGTGTAAGTCCAGCAGGCTCTGGTTTGTGCAGCTTTTAAGTGTGTCTTTAAAAAAAATTACATTTACCCCAATACAGAGGAGCACAATTAGTTTAAAAAAAAGCGGAGATCTGTTTCATGTGCTCATTCTGTCCAATAAGCAATGAATGGACAGAATGCAGAACTTTGAATACACTTCATTCATTGGTATTTTGAATTGAACAAAAATGACATTGAGAATGATCAATAACTCCATCATGTATCTCTCTTTTAACTTAAATTCATAGCTCTGCAGGAAGGCTAATGTGCAAGTTTCCATTACACAAGAGGCAAAGCATTGATGTCAGAGAGCGGTGGGGCTGGAGACTGTTAACAGGCGTTAATTGAACCATGTTGTCAGTAAAGGCACATGTGGTGTAGTGGGTATGGAGCCTTTTCCTCTCATTTTAACAGCCGCTGGTGTCATTTCTCATCCATTTAATAAACCTTTTTTACAGTTGCTTTGAAAGAGACATCTGATCTGCAATATTTTGGAGACATCTTGGATTAGCATGCAATAGAACAGGGAGTGTTGTGGTCGTGTCCCGGTTTGTCCAATTGTAAAGAATTGTTAAATAAAACATGAGAAATAATCCCAATATTATAATACATCCATGGAAATAATACATCAAGATTCTCACAAGACAAGCGTTAGAACAGTTTATATTCTGACATTAGCAGACAGTGCAATTAACATATTTGTTATAACAATAAACATGGAATACTGAAATCACTAATAAATTACCAGTAAAACATACTTTTTTTTTTTTAGATGTGTTAAAATGGGAAAATTCTTTTTAAATGAATCCAGTTTAACTATGGACTGTTTGAGCTGCCAAGCAATGTATACAGTTAAAATAAAAGCACAGTGGTATTTTATAAAACTAGAGCGTAGTGGCTGTAACAAATCAAGGATACATTAATACTTTATAGTTGTAAAGTAACTGTGCCAGTTGTGTCTCATGTCTGAAGAAAACAGAAACTGATAAAAAGGCAAAAACAAACATAACAATCATTACCAAGCAGTGGTATTTCAATGGATATTTTTTTATAGTATGCAACAGAAAATAATGGCCATGAAATCAAGGACACTGCACGGACTAGCTCTTGTAACAACGGTAACAACTAATCTGGACACACAACGCAAAAAGATAGACTAATTTTGATCATGTCCAACTGAATATTCACTCAGTGCTACAGTACAAAATGAGCTGGGAGGTATCACCAATACTTTTTTGGTTCCAACTTGAACAAACCAACAAAGAAAATACATTTTGATAGAGGCTGAAGTGGTGCTTATAACACATATAGCTGCATCTCACACTTTGATCGTCAGTCCTTCTACATAAGAATATAGGAGTGGTTCAAAAAAGAGTAAAACTAAAATAATGCTTGTGAAAAAGTGGTTTTCCGCACAAATCAAACCCCCAAAACAAAGTGCACTTGCGCTGTCGTTGTAATATACTTTGTGAAGTATATTATAGAAAAAGTAGACCATAATATCTGAAGTACAGGAACATTTGAACTGACAATGCTCCTCAGGGGATTTTTTGATAGTGTTCATCTTATTCTCTTGTTTGCTGCAAAAGTCATGAAAGATGGATGGGATTTATTCACAGTGGAATACAGATATTTAGTATTTGTGTCTGATCTAGAGGTTAAAACAGTGACCGCCTGTGCAGTTTAGGGGAAAGACTTGGTGTAAGATATAAATAGGAACTTCACACCAGCACTCTTGTTGACTGTCCATCGTCCAGAGTGAAGGAGTCTCTGGAGTCTCAGCAGCGCTCTGGTGAGAGCAGAAGTTCAGGAGGACCAGGAGCGATTCAGGCTTCAGAGCTGAGCGACGTCCGTGTAGGACTGGGAGGAAGGCGGGCCGCTGCACTGTGCTCTGTGCGGAAACTGTAGTCATACTGTAAACAGAAACAAGAGAGTTGAACATGTAACAGTGTTAATGTCATCAAATGACAGGAAATAGTAAAGTAGAACAGCTTACTTCTTTTTCAATCTCAGCCAGAGACTTAATAGTGATGCCCATTAGATCTACCTGCTGCAACTATTAAAAACACACGCAAATCAGAACAGACTATTGTGTAGAAAAGACATAAGACAAGGAAACAGCCATCTTACGTCAGAGGAGGCACAGGCAAACTTTTCTGAGATCATGAAAGGAACGCCATCCATTGCTGAAAGACAGTAGAACAAAAGTCACATTATAAATTCTTTAAATCTGTATGTACAGAATATTTTATTTCTATTTTCAATAGATCATTGAGATAAAAAAATCACCAATGTGTGAATGTACAGAAATGTTAATTTGCATTTGGTAAAGCTGAAGTTGCCTGAACGGTGATTGCTAATTTTCTCACAAGATATCGAATTCTAGAGGTTCTAAGCATTCTTTATTAGCAGAGCCGGAGTTGGCTGGATGAAATAAGTAAATGATCTCTGTTCTGAGCTATACGTCTTTACAGATCTTTAAAATGTGATATAACATGTCTATAAGGTTCTATTACGCCTGGCATGAGTCAAGAGCCACCTCAACTGACTCCTATCTAAATGGAGCAGCGGATCTACTCCAAGCTCCCCCTGAGCTTCCCATCCAATCACTTAAGAAGTGCCCAGCCACTGGGGAAAGAGTATGAGCAGCGAGGACTGGACGGTGGTTGACAACAGGGACCTTGACAACCCAGTCCACGCATAAAGCACCAGGCTGAAAGAATATGGACTTCCAGATAAATAAATCTGCTGTTCCTCACGGTATATGCCTTTTCAAATACAAAAATGGTATACTGATTATTCTTAAAAGGAACTGTACTCCTGAAAAATGTTACTACACATCTCAACTAAAAATTGTCAGTGTCCCTGCATGTAGAGCACGCCTGAGTAGCTCCACTGGCTCCTATTAGTGTTTAGGTAGTGAGGGTTAAACCAGGTGGATTTCACCAAAAAACTTGGCAACCCAAATAATAAAAGAGAATTCTGCCCATTTCAAAAACGTTTCTAGGGCCTTTGAAGTGGGTCATAACTTAAAGTGTTTCCATGGCTGCATATAGCACAATACATGCACTTTATATACTGACCAGAGATGGCGTACAGATTGGAGTTCTGGTGCTCATAATCCGGCCTTGTTGTGTTTTTTCCTCTGAAACTGGCAGGAAGTGTCATGGAAATATGTCTAAAACGGGAAACAAAGCATTAAAACATTACAATGGGAATGATATCAACGTCTACGACAGACTTACTTGAGCATAGGGGCAGTGGGGACAGGGGCTGCGTTAGAGCTGGAGTTAAAATTCTGGACGTTGTTGGTAGTTGGAGTCTGCACGGAGTCTTGTGCACGGGGAACGTTACCCATGCGATACCAGATTCCCATGTTATTGAGCTCTCTGTCATAGTACAAAGTTTAGTACGAAGTTTATAAACAATTTAAAATCAAGTTGATAATTCTTGTAAAGAATCCACTGTAGCTGACCCAATGAAGGTGTACTGAGGAGGTGCTTGTTTGGAGCGCCCTAGAATGCGGATATCGCAAATAGCCGCTTCAGTGGAGTCTCTGGGAATAAACTTAATACAAAGTCTTCTTTTCCTGAAGGCCTGCTCCTCTGTTTCAAAACATACACACATTTCTCTATTATAATAATTCCATTATTCCCCAAATGAGTGTTCATAAAGAAAACACAAATCAACGTCAACACATTCATTCTATTTAGGTTAATGAATCATAACAATTGATTATTACGATTACTTAGGGCTGAAACCCTAATTCTTGATTACAAAAAAGCTTTGCTCACAATTTAGTTTCTAAAACAATTCAGTGTATTTTAAAAATGACTTAAAACCATGTCAAACTATCATCTGGAATTGATCCTTTTAACTTTATTTTTTGGTAAATATATGTAATATATGAAGAAATTTGCAGATTACTCGAACATTGGTTCGGTACGGTTGAGTTAAAACCTCAAATTCACAAACCTTTTGCAGTGTGGACCACTAATTGATAAAAATCCTTTAACTAGATTCATTGGATAACATTCACTATTATTAATTACATTAATTATTATTAATTGACTATCATTTTCATCCATTACTTATTTTCACAACTTACGTGTATCAACTGTTTCTTGTATAGGAATGAAGCCCACAGGGAGAGTGTCTTTTATGTCAATAAGCTTCATGTCCACAAGAACATTTCCGAGGTGGCTCTAAAAGCACATTAACAAAATCAATCAAACAGTGAAATTCAAAGAGGAAGTATACTTTCATGCACAAAAGGTTAGCCTACATTTTCCTTAGAAAAGACCCTTGTGAAGCAGAGGTAACGAGTCACCTTGGATTTAAAAAGGCCGTCTTTCCACAAATCAGCATCAAGGCCGTCTGTAGTGGTAGAGACCTAAGAAATAGAATTTGAAAACCACTCCACAACCAAGACACCCAGCCAGTGAGAAATCAATACATAATAAAGTTATTCTTACCACATCATATCCTGTGGGAGCTCTATTTCTAGAGGCTACAACTCCAACACCAGTGATGGGGTCCATGGGCATCTCAGGGAGAGCCTCTGAAAGGTCCCGAACCTCGGGCATATCTAATAAGCTCTGGAGACAAAAAGATGATATGATAGACTTTTATTCTTAAATAGATTTAGCAAATTCACTGATCATAGTGATTACTCTAATAGTAATCTTACTGAACACATCCTTGCACCTCTCTGTGAAAAGTAAAGCAATCAAAAGGCACAGCCAGGGTTTCAGCAGACTCAGTCAAATGCTGAGGCTAACAGGGAGCTGGAAAGAATTGTGGATCTCAATTTGAGTCTCGAACATTTAACGTAATCAGATTTGAAGATTAAGAAATCCTTAATTTATTTTACAGAGCAGTAGGAACGAGGAGCACACGACACAAAATAAATGAATATTAGGTATAGCACAACTATAATGTAAAAAAATATATCTCTAGCTTAATAAAAACAAGTGCTTAGTATATACACATCTAAAGTATAAATCTGTATACTTCAGTGCAAAGAAATATATACTTGCCTGATGTTCAACAGCCATATTTGATAGAAACTCTAAGCTGCATATTAATGAGACCACAGCTCCTAGACAACCAGACAGTGAAGAGAAAACATGTGGCTAAAGAAGAGAAATGAATGTGCAAAGCGAAAAGGCACTTTATCTATACAGTAAAGAAAGAACTTATTCTTGTGTTTCCTCAGGGGATTTATGTTTACATCTTGTTTAATATTTTTGTGCAAATACCAAGGGGGTTGGGACCAAAATCTGTTATAATGTTGGAGCGCTTTACCAGTGTTAATGTAAGCTCAATAAGTAAAAATGTATCAGTTGTCCTTGTAAGGACAACTTGATTTTAATTATTAATAGTTATTGTTAATTTATCTTGCTGTGGGCACTTCATTCCTACTGTTCTGTAACTTGTGATGCAACACTGAAATTTCCCCACTGTGGGACGGATAAAGGATCTCTCAATCTTTATCTTGTAACCAGTGTTGGGAGTAACTACTAGTAACTGGGTGGTGCCACCTGCACAAGACCACCTGATCCCATCATATCTGAGAAGCTAAGAAAGGCAGGGCATGGTGGGTAGCTTCACCCAAATTGCCAAGTGTGAGTGCGTGTATTAACAATCGTAACTTACCACCACCGTGTATGGAGGTCTATGGTATGGAGTGATAGAATAATGCGCGATATAAAACCCAATTAGTTACAAAATATACAGCAGGAGCGGCCGTGGAGAGTTAGGTGGGGGCACCTCAATCTGCTCCCAGTAGAAATTACCAGTTTGTACAGGGAACATTTTGAAGAGGGGGGTAAACATACCAGTTCCCTGGGACCCAGTATTCTTTGAGGTAGAGACAGACCATTGTTATGATCCCAAACCCTGCTGATAAATACAATTGGCTATGCACACATAAGATTATCCGTCATCAACCATGTAATAGCCACCTAATCGTATTTTATGAACAATTGCTTAAGACATGTTCAGCAGGCCTCACATTTGAGTTGGAGAACACTAAAGACAAGTTGTGTTGTGCGGGGACGCGCTATCCCCGGTTAGCACGGCCGAGCTATCTATCCTTACTAACAGCGAGCTAAATGTTGAACTGTAGTCCTTGGCTCGAAACCAACATTCCCCCAGAGCATATTCACTTTTTGGTTTATACGTTTTAGTAACATTTTGACTAGCGTTAAATTAATCAGTAAGTGAGGGTTAAGAAAAACCCTTCAATCGTGCTAACAGTATGCTAGCATTATTATGATAACAGCCTCACCAATGAATCCGCCTTGCCTTCTTGTTTTCTGTGTTGACTTCAGAAGCTTCTCAGTGTCAACAACCTCACTGCTCCATTGTTAAGTAGTGCTATATTCTTCCGTTGGAGATTATTTAACTACATTATTATGGTACGAGCGAAGCAAAATAGAAAGCTAGCTAGTGCCATAGAGGAGTGCGTGAATGGTAAGTGATCAACATGGGGGGAACTGTAAGCACTGGCCCCCACTGGCCCCCACTGGCCCGCACTGGTCCCATCCGCCCTGATGTAAACCCATAGACTGTAAACCACGAACTATCAGCCACTCAATCCATGCAGCAATACGCTAAATATCAATTACATTTCGGAGACGACCGGGGAAAACGTGACCCTTGAGACAAATTGTATTTATCCTGTTAAATAGATTCTATACATATCAACATGAAAACATAACTCCGTTAACAAACAAATCAAATCACAGAGAGTGAGGAAATGTATAACATGTTTTCATAAACAGTCCATGAATTTGTAAAAACAAAAACGTTTTTAAGTGACAGAGCACATATTTGTAGATTTTTCAAGATCACACTTTACAAATTGCTGCAAAAGAAAATCAAACAGTCAAGGAAACACATTTAAAAGTAACGGTTAAAGGAGGTCTTTTATTTGTTTTTTATATATCCTAAAAGTAAAACACTAATTTCAGCGGGCCAAACACATGTCCCCTGCTGCGTACATTCTTTGTATAATGTTATGTTATGTTGTTTGCGTGGGATACGTTATTATAGTTTTGTCTTGGACTGCAAGAAGGTGCAGGGTTTTTTTTAGAGAAACGAAAGTGTTTTTATTTTATTTTGTGATGTAGTATTTGGATTCTCTGTACGCACACACCGGATGTGAGGTAAAACAGCGCTCCTAGTGCTGGAGCTGACCTCAGCAGACAGCAGTTGTGTTGTGATTTTGATAGTGATCCCTGCAAGTTTTAACGATATATGCACATGACAAACGGATTCATGCGGATGAAATGGCGCGATTTGTATCCATGGAATTCAGAAGGACGAGAAACTAGAACTGTTGCCATAGCGATTATCCATCTATAACAAAATATATCGTTCGTCTGGGGGCAAAAGTCCTCAAAATGTTGCACTTATCAGGAAGCTGAAACACATGAACACGAGCATTTATCCGCTAATGTGATCGCTAAAGGTGAGAACGATCTGTATCCACCAAGTGCTTTTTAATGAAATGTGTAATGATAGCTGCTAACAGCTAGCATTACCTTTTATTGTAACTAGCCAACTGCTGCCTAGCGTTAGTTCATTGACTTAGTATTATAAGATGGAACTGCGTATGTTTTGCTGGTGTTAAATTTTGTATGTGTGGTATTTACATGGACATCTAGATTCATTGCATTTAATCTTCACATCGGCTCGTTTAACTTTTGTTCCAATTCCGATTATTAGCTGGGTCTTGAAGATAGCTACACCTGCTAACTCCAGTGTATAGGAGAGACTGGCATTAGGCTACAGGAGACTGATGACAGCTACTCTAGCTGGTCGCAGTAGAACATTTTGTAACATAAAAGTGAAAGTACAATTCATACCTATACAGGTTCTCACAAATCTAAACTGTTAGTATATTGATTATGTTATTTTTAGCTAGCTGAATCACGTTAGCATTAGTTTTGCAAGCTAGCATTAGCTTTTCTAGCCTTAGATTGGTACAGCATGTATTTATTTCCCCATCTTTATTGTTTGTTTTATTGTTAGTAGCGTTAACCTATAGTTCCATTGTGCAGACTCTTTAATGCAGTTGTTAAACCAACATCAAGTTAAACGGTCCATGTTAGGTTAGTGTAATGGCATTGCTTATGTTGCTGTCTGCTATCTATCTGTTGAAAATATCAACAGTTATGTTCATAGTATAAATACGAAGGTTCACGTGTTCATCCGTGACTGGCGTGTGGCTGTTTAGTGGCAGCTTCCTAAACTCATCCAAGCATCAGCCAAAACAAATACTTGGCTTATAAAATAGTGTTTTGGTTGTGTTTGGTGCGCTTAAATGTCCCGAGTTACCTTCTTTTCCTGTTGTCGATCTTACTTGATGACATTAACTAACTGATTTTATTGTATGTGTCCTTTTTACGCAGGAACCATTCTTATTTGTAAGTGGAGAAGTTTAAAAGGAAAAAAGATGACTGCTGAGTTCATGTCATCACACAGTGTGTCTACAGTCTGTCAGAGAGTCTGACAGAGGAAAGGGAGCTACATGGAATGCAAGACATAAGCATTGAGAGTTGAAATCAAGATTTGACGCAAAGTTTAAATGGCTTTCCTGGATAACCCGGCTATTATTTTGGCCCATATCAGACAGTCTCATGTGACCAGTGATGACACAGGCATGTGTGAGATGGTACTAATTGACCAGGATGTTGACCTGGAGAAGTGCCAGTTAGCTTTGATTCCCGGCAGCAGCTGTGGGTCCACAGGTTCTGGCTCCTTGAACGAGGCTGGCATCAATGTGACGGACAACCATACTTGTGATCTTTCCCAGTCTATGGACATCACCTCGAGCTGGGACTTTGGAATTCGCCGACGATCAAATACAGGTATCAGTGTGTGTGTCTATAGCTTGTCAAGAGTAAGGCTAACTTTCTGTATTTATTAATACATTTTAAAATCAAAGGAATATTATCTGATATTTATTGTAAATTAAAATTAACATCATGTTTGCACTTTTGAAGTGTGCACATATCGGCTGTTTAAGTAAAAGCAAAATATATTTTATACTATATATTATATATTATATACCATATATTATATTCATTAGAAGCATCTGTTTCCAGGTCTAACACATTTCCAGAAAGCCTAGTCTGCTTTTTTGTGTGTGTGGTTTGATCGTGTGTTCAATCTGGGAATCATTTGTAATAGTGTGATCTGAATGGTGACAAATAGAATCAACTTAATGTCTTTTTGTTGATTATTTATTATGGTGTTTGATTTGTTTTGATTTTAGATTTTTAACAATGACATGTTGAATTCTTACCGTCATCATTACTGTAGTGGAACTAGATGTCCATCCATCGTGAGGGTACCAGTCTAAGTAGAGACGTCTAGACTGTTCTATCCACACACACACTTCCAACAGTTCATCTGGGGGTTCCCCAAGGGATTCCCAGGCCAGCTGAGAGACATAGTCGCCCTAGCGTGTCCTGGGTCTTCCCCAGGGTCTCCTCCTGGTGGGACGAGCCCGGAACACCTCCCCAAGGAGGCGTCCAGGAGGCTTCCTGAACAGATGCCCGAGCCACCTCAACTGGTTCCTCTCGAGGTAGAGAAGCAGCTTCACTACTCAGAGTTCCTCACCTGTGACTGAGGTCCTTACCCTATCTCTAAGGGAACGCCCAGCCACTCTGCGGAGGAAGCTCATTTCGGCCGCTTAAATCCACAATCTTGTTCTTTCGGCCATTACCCAAAGCCTATGACCATAGGTGAGGGAGGGAACGAAGATTGACCGGTAAATCGAGAGCTTTTCCTTTCAGAGAACACGCTGCACCGATCCGCCTGTCAATCTCACGCTCCATCCTACCCTCACTCGTGAACAAGACCCCGAGATACTTTAACTCCTCCACTTGAGGAAGGACCTCTCCACCCACCTGGAGAGCATTGAGTCTGAAGAACTAGATGTGCTCATTGTAATCCATGCTGTGGCTGTTTGGTGTTTGGTGGTTTTGGGATCATCAAAATGAGGACTCAGTACCTTGTATCTTGAAGCGGAATTGTTGAAATTACACGTGGCGTTGCGTCTGAAAATCTGCCTGGCGTAACTCAGATACATGTAATTAGTAACTGTAATGAGATTACTTTTTCAGTAACTAAGTAGTGTAACGCATCACATACAAAAACATTTGTAAATAGATTAGTTACTATCAAAATACTCATACTTTATATTAATAAATACTATTTATTAGTTTACTTGTGGAACTATCTCACACAGATTTAAACATAAAAATGCAAACCCAATACACTTGCGGCACTAACTCAACGTTTTTATCCTTTTGTTCTGCCAATTTCTGGAATATAACTTTACACATACAAATCAATAATAAGAATCATATACAACACACTTTTCAAATAATTATAAACAATGCTCCATGCTCACCTGTGAATATTGAAATGAACATTTCTCTGCGTATGTGAAAGCATAATGTTATAATTGCTTATTCCTTTAATGGATTCAAGAGTCTTTATTTTGAATATAATTTGGTTTGTGGGGCTGCTGTCTGGACAGTAATCAATGAAACCCTGGTGAAATCCTTTAGACTCTACATACAGTTGTTTTTGAGGGGAGTGGTCTTATGGGGATTTAAGGTGGTATGACATTTTGTACCAAAATTGAGTTGGTGTGTTGTTGACTTTCGGGCTGGGTAGAAATATTATAGTAGTTTGTAATGGAAAATTGTGGGCTGTTTTATCAGGACAGCAACAAGACAATCTGGACAGACCTGTAGCGGCTGGTAAGATAAATGTCTTCAACCAAAATATATAGCATACATGTATAACATTTTGCGAATAACATTTGTCAGCCTGGGCGTGTCAACAAAGTCTCATGTGTCTGATTTCAACTGATGTTTTGTTTTTATGTGAACTGGGCATAAGTATTTGGTCTATTTACAAATTACAACATTGTTTTGCAGCCCAAAGACTTGAAAGGTTAAGAAAAGAGCGACAAAACCAAATCAAGTGCAAAAACGTACAATGGAAAGAGAGGGCGACGTCTCAATCTGGTAAAGACGACTGTTATGTATAATATTTGTTGGTCAAGATATAGTAACAAGTTTTATCATTGCAATGTTATTGTTTTTCAGTTGAAGATCTGGGCACATTATTTGAGAAGCGTGACTTCAAAGATCGGCCGAGAACAACAGGCACTAAGTCGACCCTGTCATTGCGACTCGAGCAGTGTCCTCAGCAGCTCAACAACCCCTTCAATGAATACTCCAAGTTTGATGGCAAGGTACCAAAGTCCACAAAAACCAGCTTCCTCAGGACAGATTAAATTAAATTAAATGTATTCCTGTATTGCCCTAAAGCACAACAGTAGTTACATTGGAGGACTTCGACACAACTGTTGAATTCTCAAACACAGATCAGAGAATCAAACAGTTCAAACACAATAAATGCAACAACAAAAACCACATAGCACACAAAATTGGTCCATAAGGGGCAGATGATCAATGTCCGTAAATGTCGTTGAATGTCGAGTGTTCTGGATCATCACCACTGTCCTTAGACCTTAGATTTAAGTAAGACCAGTGTGGTTTTGTCGTACCTGACAGTTTTGACTGTTTGTCTTTCTCAGAGTGGTCATTCCTTGTCTTGTCAGCTGTTAAACATGGAATGGAATAAATACAAATATGGAAACAAATGCCCCCAGGATTATAACCTGGGGGGCCTTTTTTACTCTCACACACCTGTGTATCTGCCCTTAAGAGGTCGGACTGCAGATGGAGCTGTCGTCCTGCCTCTGGTGTTAGGAAGACTGCGCCAAAAACTGTGTAAAACAACTGACATGACACGTCCCAGGAACATCAGTGGGCAATTACCAAAAACATTCAACATGTAGAATCTATCAGAGGAATAAGAGATTCTCGTTGGACTATTACCACCTTGTGGATCAATAAAGTCTGTCTAAGTCTAAAAAGTATGGTATGTGTTATTTTAAAGGGTCATATAGGGACAACCGCGACAAAGAAGATTGACGTCTATCTCTCCATGCAAATCGGTCAGGACAAGGTTCATCCAATGACTGTGGTAACCATTGCCAATGCCAGAGTACATGATCTCATTGGACTTATCTGCTGGCAGTACACATGTGAAGGAAGGGAACCTAAACTAAAGTGAGAAATATGTGCAGAAGGTAGGATGACATCTAAGCAATGTGACACTAACATGTTGTTGTCTTTGACAGTGAGAATGTGAATGCCTACTGTCTGCATATTGCAGAGGATGATGGTGAAGTCGACACAGACTTTCCCCCATTGGATTCTAATGAACCTATCCATAAGTTTGGTTTCAGCACGTTAGCCTTAGTCGAGAAGTATTCTTCACCTGGCCTTGCTTCTAGACAGTCCTTGTTCGTAAGAATGTGAGATTTTTTTATTTTTATTATTATTATATCCAATTTATTTACAGTTTTATGCAATACGTCATAATATAGCAAAGGAAGGTTTCTCGCCCATCATCTGTACTTCTTAGCAGTTTTCCCGACGTTTCTCCTCAATCCAAAGGACTGCTTCAGGGAATGAATTCTCAGACCGCGCGTTGGAGATTTATAACCTATGGGTGTGGTTAGCCACACCCTAATCCTGATACTAACTCAGGATTAGACCTTAGATTGTTAGTATCAGGATTAGGTTATAAATCGACAACGCGCGGTCTGAGAATTCATTCCCTGAAGAAGTCCTTTGGATTGAGGACGAAACGTCGGGAAAACTTGCTAAGAAGTACAGATGATGGGTGAGAAACCTTCCTTTGCTTTGACTAATCCCTGTACGACTGAGGGCTTACACAAACGTCAGAATATAATCACTCCTGATCAAAACTTTGAGACCAGTTTTTTTCTAAAATGACTACAGCTTTTGTTGACCTTGCTTATGCAGGTCAACGATCAAACCACGTTCAACAACAGAATCTTTTGTTTAATCATTTGGGAAAGATTTAGGCGTTTAAAAGCTGGGGTCTTAAATTTTTGATCAGCATATGAACAACAATTTCACTTAAATTGTGGTTTCTTGTTAAAATGTAAACTATATTATATTTTACAGAAATGCTGCTCATGGCTTCTCTTTAATACCTGTGGACAGTCTGAAAGTAACCATGAATGACATCCTCCAGAAAGCATTAAAGAAAAGGAAGGGCTCTCAAAAAGGCTCAGGTAGTGATGGTAAAACTGTTAATTTCCAGACATAAAGTGTACATTTTTAAAAAGGGACATCCTCACAATCAGGGAGAGAAAGCATTGGTCACAGAAGAAATGTTCAAAATATAAACACCAGATATATGTCAAGTGTTAAGCACACAATGGTGAGTGTGACATTTACAGAATCAGAGTTTACTTCTCAGTGGAGCCAAAGGGTCTGTGAGCATCAGGCTTCATAGAGCCTCACGCATTGGATTCCACTTTCATTCAGACTTTTGGATAAAAAGTCAGTTGCTTAAATGAAAGAAAACGCCTTCCTGACCCAATATCTTCAATCGTTCAGTAAAACAAATCCAATAATCTGTTAGCTCATCATTTCCGTGAAAAGGGATTTGAAAATATTTTATAATTCTATATATATTGGAAAATTAACATAAATTTGAAGAAATTATACATGATTTTTTATTTAAAAATAGTACAAAAAACCAGAAAAGTGAGGTACTTTTCAGTTTTTTATATATATATATATAAAAAAGAAAAAACATGTATAATAATGCTTTCAAGTCACAGTTGTCTGCTACTTTGTTCCTGTCTCAGTAAAATATAGAAATGACAAACATTGGCCGTTAGCGTTAGGTCGTTATTCATTAAAATAGAGCAAATGGTTTTATGATATTTATGATGACCTAAACACTTTGTTACTTGAGTGTTTTTGGTTTTTGTGTATAGTGTTTCTCAAAGGGCATTTCTCTTCCTCTTAGGGCCAATGTATCGTTTGGAGAGACAGACCGAACCAAATGTGGCAGTTGATTTAGACTCCACGCTGGAGTCTCAGGGAACACTTGAATTCTGTCTGGTCAGAGAAAACAGTAAGTTCACGTGAGTTTAGGATTTGTTGTCTGACAGTTGAATAATTGCATTCCACTTTCATTTCTGTTTCCAGGCTCCAGGGGAGAAGAGAGCTCAGAAGAGGACCCCCCCATAGACATCACCACAGTCCAAGACATGCTCAGTAGTCACCATTACAAGTCATTCAAGATCAGCATGATCCACAAGCTGCGGTTTACCACAGATGTGCAGCTAGGTACAAGTGGCTCCTGTCCCATATGTCCTTGACGGCCGTAAAAAAGAAAACTGCAAATAACTTGTATTGTTCTTTACTTGGTGATTCAGGTATTTCAGGGGAAAAAGTTGAGATTGATCCCGTGACAAACCAGAAAGCCAGCACAAAGTTCTGGATCAGACAGAAACCCATTTCCATAGACTCGGACCACCTCTGTGCCTGTGATCTGGTGGAGGAGAGAAGCCCCAGTAAGTCCTTTCATTTAGAAATTCAAATATGAAATGCTTATTTAAAGGATATTCTGCTGTTGTTAAAAAATCTCAAAGAGAATAATTGCTCCGAGCGGTTTCGTTTTCTTCGGGAGAGAATAATAAGTATTTAGTCCACACTGTATTATACTTATAAGAAATACATATAAATACCATTTACAAACCATCTACTCTATTAGTACACCCCTCCCCCCAAGTTATTAACTCTATCTTTGAACTAAAGACAAATTGTTGTGTTACATTCTACAGGTCATGCAATATTTAAACTAACCTACTTGAGCAATCATGATTACAAGCCTCTCTACTTTGAATCTGATGCTTCTACCGTCAATGAAATTGTGCTAAAGGTGAGTAAAAGGTTATTGTAGTTATGGCCCGGGCGTCATCCTCCTTTTGTTCTGTGTGCTGCATTAACATCACTGAGCAGGATTACAGAATCCTAAACGCTGTGCACTAGTTGCTCAATTTTTGAAGTATTAATTTCTTTAAGAAAGCTTTTAATATTAAGAATTTCTTTTGTCTATTATTTTTTTGTACAAAACAGTTTTGTTTGAATACTAGTTTTCATTCTTCATTTCATACGTATCCTGTTTTGTTTTACCTTTCTCAGAAGGTGAGATCCAGGTCTGTTTGGAAAGTTGTAGAAAGAAATTTGGTTTTCAAACCTGTTTAAAGAAAAAAAAACTGATAACTTTACCTTGGTTCAGGTGAACTATATCCTGGAGTCCCGGGCCAGCTCGTCGCGGGCCGATTACTTTGCCCAAAAACAAAGGAAACTGAGCCGCAGGGCCAGCTTTAGTTTCCAAAAAGACAAGAAAACTGGGCAGTGAGAGCTGCGGAAGAAACACCGGAAGGTCTGTTTGGGACAGCTGCAAGAAAAGGTACCTGTAACGAATGCAAATGATGAAAGGCAAGATGCTGCGGGAGAAGATAATTTATAAATGGGTGCCTCCTATTGAGCTCAGTGAGCTGTTGCCTCTGAATCAGAGACTTGCAGCACCAATAACAATGGAAGATTTTTCACTGGTGTCCTTTCTAATGAATTTAGCTTTGTCTTGTCAGATAATTGTTCCTTTGTAAAAAATTTAATCATGTATTTTTATTTTTAATCAAAGATTTTACAATAATGCTATGAAATGAAATTGAAAAATGAGCATTGCTAAGATTGTTGGATATGAATAATTTGGTACTGACACAAAATGTTATTCCACATGAAGCAGTCACTATCGTGATAGCGGTCTGTGGTCACACATGGTTTACCTTCAGCTCACTCCTTGCTGCATTTTGAAACAAGCGGTTGAGCTCGCACATGAAGTAAAGAATACCGGTCAACGGTCCATGAACAGCCTTAAAACAACCACTAGAGGTTGGTGTTGAACAACTATTAAAGCATGTCTGACTGTTCGCTGTGTCCAAGGGTGAAATGTACTCAGATCATGAGTGCTGTGAGCTGCTGTGAGGCATGTCTAACAAATCACAATAAAGAAATTCCAACCTCTCCCCAGTCTGAATTTCAACAAATCTCCATGCAGAACAACAATGTGAATGTTTAAGTATATTTTTTATGTTTTTACAAAGGAAATGATGTTGTATTTTGTATGTAAAGGGCTGTATGTCTATTATTGACCTTGTTCTGGCCTTCCTCAGAACTTCTATTTATTTCATTTTTGGATTTAGATCACGTTCAGGTTATTTTGTTTTAACTCTTCTCCATTTGTTTTCTGGACTTAAAGCATCTCTCTGGCAACTGCATTCATAAGATTTAGTTTCATACACATCATCACAAAATGAAGAAATAGGTACAAAAAAAACAACCTGATGTAATGTGGATTACTCTAAAGCCTGCACATGTCTTGTCTGTTTCCAATTCTTGTCGATTTATTGGGTGAAAAATCTGAAACTGGTTTTCTCAGAGACCAATCGTTTTACAAACTGTTGCACTGTGACACAACACAATGTTAAATTACCATTTTATATCTCGATATAAAACTTCAGATGAAGCCCAGATGAGTTCTGTGTCTGTGTCTTACTTTCATGGATTCTCTTCCAACTTGGCACAGAGAATAGTTAAAACAAATATCTGATTTAGAAGCTCCAACTCAGATCCATGAACTACACTATCACTACTGCTTGTGATAATTGCAATTTATTCATTCCGCATTTATTGGAATATATATTAGTTTGAATCCAGAGTCTCCGTTCAGAGACCATGGGACAGAATGGGAAACTAGAGTTTGTACATTATTCCCAATTAAACCTTTTATCGCACTAAAATGACAATCTGAGCACTTTTTTCTTCTTCCATATTTTCATGCCCATCATTAATGTATATTGAGATCATATCTTACACTTGTAAGTAGTGCATAAAAATGACTTTATAAAACTTTTATAATTGTAAAAGAATGTTATTTTCTGTGTTATTTCAAATTATAACAGCAACTGTAGGATAATTTTATTTGTAACATAGTATGAAATATTATTACAGAAGCTGAGCCACATGTATACACACAGTATATACATGGTCTGTAGTAGACAGACATGATATGACACTGATGGGTAAAGAAAAACGAATCTAATGTGTGTTGGTTGACTGAATTGATTTTCTTCCATGTTTGGCCAGGGTCAGTTGACTAGCCCTCCAAAGATATAGATGAAGATATTTAGCATTTTTGACCTAGATACTCCCACCTGGCCTGCTTCTGGGACCGGGCTACACTTGAGTTGGTTTGTTGAATAAAGTTGGGGCCTAATGTGCTTCTCTTTTCCAAGTTCCTCAAAGAGCAGTGAGCAGGCTGCCAACTGTCACAAAGATGCTGAGCCACCACAGTGGACTGACCCATTTTAGCCATTGCTTTACATTCTATCACTATCATGGCCTACTTCCACTAAGAGCTCTCCCACCAGTGTAACAAAGACGCTGGCCTGAGGATGTGCGTTGATTTATTGATTGTGAAATAGGAGGTGGAGCATGCAGAAGGACTGATGGAGGTCAGAGACTCTGGAAAGAGGGTCGCCTCCTGGGCCACACAGTCCCAATCGTGAGACACACAGCATACTACCTCTCAGTTTGTGCTCAAAAAGACTAAAATTCACATGTGGTATTGATGACTAATCAAGTGTGGTGAGGAATAAAATTGTAACCGGACGCGTGCATAAAGGCGTTATCTACACTTCTATATTAGTATTAGGCATATATATGGTATATAAATAGACACAGCCATACACATGTTGAAAGTATAAAAAATACAATATTACATGATTTTTTTAGACATTGTTGTGAGGTCTCATCATCAGTGTTTAGCTTTTTTTACTTGAATGAATTAGAAAGATGGAAAATGTATTGTATCGTACACATATATCGTTTTCACTTTCACAAGTCCATTCATCAAGCAAGCATCGAGCATCAATGTAAAAATGATTAGACAACAAAAACACATGCAGCCAGCGTCCTCAACTATAGATCTGTACAACATTTCCTCACAGCCTTCCAAGATCGGGAAAACAATGTCAAAATAAATGTATGTGTGCTTCAAGTTTCATTGTACTTTGTCTTACAAGCTTTACGAGATATAAGGGACAGGATGAGGGTTCTAGAGCGTGGGCAGCTTATTCAGGAGGCTAGAACACAATGTGTGGCTCTTCAGAGCTGGCAGGATTGTTAAAATACGCTAGGGAACAATGTCATGAAAATTGACCGAGCTAAATTGTGTTAAACCATGTGTATCATGTACAACCAAACCTAAATGCCAATAGAAAATTACAGTAAACATATATCTCAGTACAAATACACAACAAATGTTATTCAAGCATAAATTCACCCTACAGCTACTATGCCAAAGGTGGCTCACGGTGTTCACAAATACATCTGCTGCTAATTCCATTATTTAACTCCTGCCTGTTGAATGGCATGGTGTATGTGTTTACTGTTCTTTTTTCTACTCACAGTGTATTTTACCAGCACAGGTCGGTAACTGGCACCATTGAAAAAAATAATGAAAATATTCTTTACTCTGGCAATAATCCTGTACTTGGAGGACAAGTACTAGAGCTAGTCTGCATCTCTCTTTTGTATTGATAATAATTATTAACTATTTCTCTTTTATATAATCATGTATTGTTACAATATACTTTACAATTATCAAAATACCAACTACATCGCATATGTTAATTTGTTTTCATTTGACAATTCTGGCGTTCTACTAAGTATATAATGATATGATGTCAGGTAATCTACCACAAGTGCTTGCATAGAAAATATTCTGGAGCTAGGTAAGTAGTGAAGACCTATTCTGCATGAGATTCCTCTCATGTCATTGAATAAATAAATGTGTTTCATTTATAGGCCAATACCACTTAAGTAAAAATGATAACGGTAAAAATATAGTAATGCAGGTGTTCGATTATATCTAAATGATGATGAAAAATGAACCATTTGACCGGCAACATTTTTCAGCGAAACTATGCTGTTTTGATGAAAACTATACTTAATGAAAACATATACAAAATAGACTTGTTCATCTGTAAATGTTTGAATTAAGTTTGGTGTGTAAATACAGTATGTTTGACATTATCAAGGTGCCCTTAAATTATATCATCAAGGAGATGTGGTGTCCCCACCCAGTCTAACGTCCTGGGCTCTGACGCTGCCATGATCATGCACATGAACTGCTTGCCGGTCCTCTTGTCTATGGGATATATAGTGGTGGGTGTGAACCTGATGTTACTCTCCACAAACTCACAGAGGTGCTGGTATATCTGTGGATACTCATGACGGAGGAACACCCCGCGTAAGCGTAGCTCCCTCTGTATATTTATGAAGCAGATTTCTCGGGCCTTCCTGCCCTCCTCTCCCTCTTTGTCAATATCAGCTGTTCCAGGTGGAGGTGTGAGGATGAGTGTCTCCATGTCACCTTCTTTCTTATGAACCTTCCTCTCAGGGCTGAAAGAGGCCAGGGCTACCTTTGCATATTTTCGAACAGTTGGAGCTTGGTTCCTTGGCGATGGACCATCAGGCAGCTGGTCTCCTACAGCAATAGATACATTCAAAATGAAACATTCATTGGGGTCATACTCTCTTCCTGCTTCTTGCAGTTCCTTGCAATATTCCCCAAGGTTGTCTTTGAAACTCTCAAGTTCTCGAAGGGAAAGGTATGTGGGGGACATATGTAAACTATCCAGTCCATATTGTAAAAAGTTACTAGACGAGGCTGGGTTTGGGAAGCCCAGGAACAGCACTCCTCTACCTCGGGAAAGGTAGCCAACTTTAGCGATACGGGAAAAAGCTTTGTGGACATCAACAGTCTCTCGGCAGTGTTTGATGATGTGACGACATGTGCTGCCAATTCTTCCATACAAACAACTCTCTTTATGCAAATCCCAGTCCTCTCTGCGACAGTTTCTGGAGCAATAATAGGTGTAGCAGCTGTGGCAGGATTTAAAGTACAAGCATGCATTGAATAAAGTCTCAGTTCTTCGACATTTGTTGTTGGAGCACATCATGGTGTCATCCTCATCAGGACTTTGATCTGGGGAGCACTCATCTGCACTCTTCATGGCATCACTTGCTCCGTCCATGTCCCGGAAGTCTGGGGTCATCCTTATAGAAGTGGGCTGTTTGTCCAGAGGAGGGGGCTCATCCACACACACTCTTGGACTTTTTCTAGACAGAGACACTGCCTCCTCCTCATCGATTAACTTCTTCAGCTGATCTAAAATGTCCTCACTGGCTCTTCGACTTGGAGGTTTGTAGTCAGTCACAAGATCTGCCAGAAGCTCATCCAGCTGTTCAAGGCTCTGCTGCAGTGAGGCGTTGTCATGTGGCTTTTCTTTGGTTGGTCCTTCAAACCCATGCTGAGAGTGCTCTGGGCCATCTGTGCTTCTGGAGTCAATAATGTCCCAACTGGCAGACCTTCCATTTGCCTTGCTCAGGTTTCCCGGTCGGATGTCATTGTCTGTAATTGTTATCTCAGGTGTTACAAACCACATTTTACTTGTGGGACTTTTTGAGGCTTCCGTTGGGCTTTTATCAACAAGCGAATTATCAGACATTGACAGAGCGGCATAGCGTCTTGGTGAACTAGAGAGATTTACCACCACTGGTTGAGGCTTGTCATCTGTGTCTGCAGAAGGCTTCCTGGAATCAAGCAGATCATCAAAACTCTGTCCACGATGAACAGGTTGTTCCCGCTCAACGCGAGAATTGAGGATGTTGTCCCAGGATCTAGAATAGGATTTGGCATCTGTTCCAATTCTTGGAGGCTCTACACATGGATTGTTATACCATGACGACGAAGTTGACTCTTGCTGGATTCTAGTCGGAGTAACTTGGGAAACATAGGAAGCAGGGTTAGTGGAATATCCAGATGCATCAGAGCCATACCATTCATCTGCTTGTGCCTGCATCACTCTGGCATGCCTTCGTCCTTCTGTGTAATAGGCTCTAGATGGAATGTGATGCTCTGGGGCCATTGCATATATGTCAGCTGGATAATAAAACCGAGGAGGTGCTGTGTGGACTTGGTAAGATCTCGGATCATCACCATAAATGACTCTTGCAGGGGGTGTTTGAACAATATATGGCCCAGGCTCATTGGTGCCAAAAGCTTTAGAGTAACCGGAGTATGGATATGACTCCATCTCTGGGTAGTAGGGCTTTGTGGATACTGCATGCACCATTCGAGTCCTTGGATCTTGAACGTATTGAACTTTTGGAGAATGTGAGTAAGAGCGACCTGGCGTGTAGCGTTCATCATGGAAATAAGCGCTTGGCTGAGGTGGAGCAGTGGTGACAAATCTATTGTGATCATCTGCATAAAAAAATCTGGTTGGCACATTAGGACTGGAATGAGCTCTTCGTTCTCGACCATAATATTCAGTTGAAGAAGGCGTTCTCTGCATGGAAACCTCCACTGGTGGTAAGTAACTGTTTGGCATGCTACGCGAGTATTGATAGGCATGCCTGCTGTCAGTGTCCGTTGGTGTAGATGTACGGGAGTAAGAAAAATGTCGGGGCACAGTCAGGCTCCTAGTGCCACCGCTGTGATGCCTCTGCCATGGTATGTCTATGTTGGACGATGCCTGTTTATGTTTTGAATGGTGAACAGCAGCAGTGTCAGGTTTGATGTCCATGCGACACCGGACATGAGGACTAGTGGCAGGTTTGTCATGCCCTCTGTCATCCAAATTATCAGCACCATAGTGTGGAGAGTGTCTGGTGTTGTCCACTATTTGAGGCTGTAGCTTGAGGGGGTGCATCTCTTGCATGTGAGCCCTTGCAGTATGAGACGATTCTCTACGTGGCGATACTTCAGGCCTCCATCGGGCTTCCCGAGGGGTCCTCTGCGATTCCCTCCCTTTTCTCCCTGAAGATGGGGTCCTTTCAAAAGACACTGGAGTGAAGTTAGTTTGGACACGAGGGGCACTTTTTGATCTAGTCCTTTTTTTTTGCTCAGATATAACTTCAGTGGAAATGTCCGCTCCCATTGGCTGAGGAGTGAGCCTATGGCTGAAAATGTCCGGTGCAGAGAAACGGTACCTCTGCTGGCGGCCCAGGGCGTTCCAGGCCACTTCTGGGTTGGCTGCATGTCTCTCTGCCTTTCTGAAAGGGGACTCCATGGTGTATTTGTGGATTTTAGGGTATTCTAACGACCTGGAGTCAAAAGTGCGGCAGTGCCTCTTGTTGACTGTACTTATACCGTCCTCCAGTATGTTGTCGTTTGTAGAATCACATTGTGTGAAAGGCTGCCAGGACTTGAAGTGTGAGGAAATAGGAATTACTTTTATGTCACGATGCACAGTTGAAACCAGTATGTCAGGCGGGTCTGTGCGTGTCATCTTAAAGGGACTCTTCTAGATATGTCCATAGAGATGTTTTAAAGGTGATGATGCCTGTAAACAAAAAAGGGAAAATCAATCAGTAAAGTCATTGGTAGATAAAGAGTAAATGTAAAAACAAAAAAAAAGAAGATAATTGTTTCTGTCCAATAATGTCATGAAAAAATAAGACAAACATGCTAGAATTGAATATGTATCTATTTATCTATTATTCAGATATCAATGAGGAATTATGTGTAATGGCAGATGGCAGATCTTACACACAATGGCTCTGCGTGACTTTAGAAGAAAATTTCAAACCCAGTGAAGGGTGACAGGAGCTCACATGATGGAGGGTCAACCGCAAACAGAGAACGATGGAGCAACCATTACAGATTATATAAAATTGTATCCATCAATTTAACAATTCCTTCACCTAAACGTTTGTGTTAATATCTCTCAGATTTGGCTTAAGACATTTAGGACTGAGAATCCCTTTTTCTGAAACCCATAAGAGACAGGTGGTTGGGTAGCAGCTTTGAAATCATCTTTGCATGTTGAAATATACAACATTTATTCAGATTGACTTCGTGCCATTGAAGACTGACATTTCCCCAAGAGGTAAATGTAGTTGGATGCTAATGCCTGGACTGGCTTGGACTAACATCTGATGGTTCTGGTGTTTTTCTTTTACTCTAAGATTTTATAAAAAGTGTAGACTGATCTGAGACCACTGGAGCATTTTTTTTACAACTTGAGTGACCATTGTGTTGTGGCAAAACCTTTTCATTACAAAGGAGGTGCGTGAGTGCGTGTGTGAGTGCGTGTGTGTGTGTGTGTGCCTGCGTGTGTGTGTGTGTGTGTCTCAATGGTGGTTGTAGGAGAGGCCGAAGACACAGATTAGTTTCTTATGTCATTCTGTCCCAGGGCAGCTGTGGCTACAGCCGTACTTTACCACCACCCTATACTGAGTGAATGAATAATGCCATCCTGACGGTGCTGTATAAAACCAATGCATTATTATTATTGATTGAAGACTTTACCACTGGAAAGTCCATGGCCTTATTACAAACGTTGAATCAGCTGAACTTTTATAACATCTTTATCAACATTGTGAAAAAACATAATTAGATTAGAAGGTGGTGATGATCCATGGTTCTTATCTGAACTTCTCAAATAATAATAATCGACACAACAAAACAAAATCTCGGAAGTAATATGATGCCATCGTTTCAAACTTTTCCATTCAATTCAATGTATTTTTGTAAACGACAGTCGTCTGAGGACTTTACAAAGTTGTCGATTCGCAACAGATCAGTATAAATGTATGGTTTCACTCACTTATTTTGTGATTGGATGGTTGTAATTTATGTACTTCTTTTGTTTGTTTTTACTGCACAACTTTTAAAGACAACACATTCTACAGAGCAAGGTCATTGAGGCATTGGGAGTGGAAAATTAAGAAAAAAATGACCCTAGAGATAAGAGGCTTTCTAGTTGGAGGTGCTTCTGTGATTGGCTGCCTTGGTCACAGTCACAGATGTCGGCATGCTGTCAGTGCTACGCTTCACACTCTGTCTCGCGGCTCGTCTCGGTAACACTCTGGGCACAAGAGTCTGGTGAGCATGCTGCCTCGTATGCTGCTGCTGCTGGGGGCTTCGTCTCTCTCTGCTTTGTCCGTCGTGTATAATAAGGAAACGGCACGATGGAACAAAGCATGGACGAAGAAAGCATTGCTGCAGAGGACTGTTGGTACAAAATACATCTGATTCTCTGAACTTAAGAAATACATGTGGTGTAAATATAGTAACTCCTCCCCAAAAAGACCCTGATGGCTGAGCACACTCGAATAGGTTTTCTACTGATGTTAGTCTGAGAAGTGTATTATACAGATAGATAGATAGATAGATGATCATTCTAAAAAGCAAACCATAGTAATAATAAGCATAATAATAGCAATGGGGCGACAGTGCCTCAGTTGGTAGAGCATTGGTCTTTGAACCAAATGGTAATGGTCATGGGTTCGATCCCCCCACGACCCATGTTGTCTGCTCCCTGCTGCTGTCGTTAATGTCCCTGAGCAAGACACTTAACCCTGCGGGGACATTTAACCCTGCGGGGATACTTAACCCTGCTGAAAGATCAAGGCTATGGAAAAGCCATCTTCATGTGGACCCTGCAGCAGGATCAGCGAGGGATGGGTGCTTTGAGACTTGGGTGGCAGCTCTGATTGCCCCCCGACCCAGAAATGGATTGATAAAGGGGAAGAAAGTGACATGACTTAACAGAATACTAATAACAAGCATAATGTAATGAAGTTTGGGTTAGGTTTTGTTCTATTTGCCTTTCCAAGTCCAGCATAATAACATTTGAACATATACACACAGTAACAGCGGTCTCAGCTCTGACAGACAGTGTGTAGAGGTTATAGTAAAGGATTTCAGGTCAAATAATTAAGAGAATGGTCAAATACTGGTTTCCAACTGACCACGGGTGTCCTCATAGAGTATAGTCCTGTCAAGATGATTACTCCAGGAAGGTTATCTCCTTCTCTAGGGAAAGTCACTCGCTTGTGTCATGAAGATTTTCTATTGCCGCGTCAGCATTACAGTGTATTATGGAATGGACCTATCAATCTATCGTTTATTCTTTTCCATGGTGTTCACTGAGATTGCATGAGATGTTAGTTTTCTCCTCTTTTTTCAGGCAAAACAACAACAACAGTATGGAATTATAAAATATAAAATAGTATTAAAACTATGAGGGGCATCTTTAAATGACATTAGTTGCCCTATTTGTCTTATTTGACTTGTGGACATTTTATTTATGTATTTCTTTGTTTTGATTCTGCAAATTACACTTGCTAAATAATTTAAGATTGATTGTCATAGTTTTCATTTTATTCCAATGATCTATAAAAAGATGTGTGTAGTTAGTAAACCTACATATGCATACTCTTTTCTTATCATTTTCTTTTGTATTTATTTTATTTTTAACAGTATTATCACTTGCAATATTAGGACCCTCGTCCTTGTTAGGTTTCCTCCAGGTGCTCCGGTATCCTTTACCACTAAAACGTGTACAATAGGCTCGACCCATCTGGGGCCAGGACTCCCCTGAAAATAAATCTCCTGTGATTCTGAAATCTCTCTTCCTGGTTAAATAACGGTCGATGAGAAACAACATAACTCCGACTTTGCAATCAGCTCATTGCAACCAGTCATATTGTGTATGATTGATCTCTGTCCTGGTGACTTGCTAAGAGTTATTTCACTTTTGAAAACAAATTAAAAGTGACAGTGCGGCTTAAGCCAAAGCCCAGAATAACATAATTCTTTGGTTGCTTTTTCTTTTGGCTGTTAGCTGTTCCCTCCATTTAGAAGATTGGATGTTGAGCTCTGGAAAAGGCAGTGGTGTTGGAGCCACATCGGTGATAAATCTGCTTCACTGCTGCTTTGTGCTTCAACAGCAGTTTTGAAGTCTGTGCTTTCTCCATCTTTAATTCGACTGATCAAGAAGTGACACTGCTCTGTCTTTAGATGCACAGGTCTGCGTTTTTCTTACTATTCAGACAAAATGGTGACTGTAAACATGACACCACATTTCCTAAAACTTTGACTTTGCCTTATAACACAAAGGAGACAATGTTATTAAGTAAAAGCTTAGCTGTTGTATTAGAGCTGACCTACATTTAGGCTCTGAGGCATTCAAGATATGTCCCTTTGAATCAAATGTGCAATAATCCCAATAGGACGATTATAGTTCATGATCAAACAGTTACAATAGAGCTGTAGTTGTGTGGTCATGACAGTCTCAAAGTAATTGGGTCTTTAACATGACTTTGTAATATCAGTGATCTTCTCTTCTGAGCTTCAGAAACACACAGATGCTCCTTCAGGCAGATGAAGTCTACAGTGGTTTAATATTGCACATCAGGGAAGTCATGTGTGTGCACTCCAGCTCCAACCCGCCACTTAGGGCAGCTGCTTCTGCATCTCCACTGAGCTACTGAGCTACTGAGCTACTGAGCACATGGAAACGGCCTGGATCCTGGATCCAAACAGAAGAACTGCAATCAAATGAACTGACTTGAGTCATATGGATGCTGAGCTAAAGCAACATTACGTGCAGATCGTGTGTGTGCGTGCGTGTTTGTGTGCTTTGTGTGTGTGTATGTATGTACGTGCATGTGTACGAATGTGTGTGTCCATGCATGTGCATGTGTACGCGTGTGTGCGTGCGTGTGTGTGTGTGTGTGTGTGTGTGGTGTCACGGACTGCTGCTGAGGATGAGCTGACGATGATGTCAGTGCTGTTTGATGGGGACACGAGGAAATGAAGCTTCATTAGAATATGAGTCGGCGTCAGGCGAGTGTCGAGTCTGTGGTCACACTGTTCATGCAGAGAGCGGTCTGACGGCTGGAGGATGCGCGGTCACGTTCACTCCGCCGCAGTGATGCGATATCAGCCAGAAATGACAGAGAGAAACCCCGTTACGAGTCCCCTGCGAGTGGGGGTCGTATGCAGAGACACTATATCCACGACGCAAATGAAAGCTTACCGCAGCGGTTCGCCCTTGCAGCCGGGGCTCGTCCATTCTCCACGGCGGAGGCGACTCCAGGCACCGCCAGTGCTTCCCAATGACGACATCCAACATGTGCAAAAGGCAGAGCTGCAATATTCGCCTTATTGGTCAGTTAGTTCCAGGATCCTCTCCCTCTCCTCCTCTTCTTCACTGACGTTACATCGTTAGTGATTCTCTGCGCAAACGCCGCTGCACCATCCACATCCATCCAACAGCCAATCACCCATCACCAGAGGAGTCACCAGACAGCCAACCACTGACAGCCACTGACAAGCGCCACATCACCCTACTCTCATCCGCGCGTGTGTGCGTCGTGCGTGGATCTGTTCTAATGTCATAGTGCCATTGTGCGAACTCATCATGTGGAGGTAATATTCTGACACATGTGCCCCGTGCACGTCTAGCGCCTCCTAGAGGATTTTTATATGCCACGTTTTACACCGTTTATCCTGGTTATCAAGCAGCATTTAGCTTACAAATGGTGTACAATCAACACAATATTTGAGTGTGCATAAGATTAGATAATCAGACCATGATTTCTATGCAGCCTAAACCACAGAAGACGTTATAGTTTTATACCAACAATCCCCCATATGATTATAACCCTTATCTCAGTTATGTATAGACATAAGGAGATGACTACAATTGTTCTTTGTGAATAATGTGATAAAATAGGTGTCATAAACCATGCTTTCCCTCTATTTGCATTTCTGGCACTATACCAAAATACACTTCTCAAAAGATAAATGGAATACTTCCAAAAACTCAATGAATGGGATCTTTTGGTTAAAAAAAACACTCATATCTGTGCGGCTTGTGCTCACAGGTGGTTCAACATATTGTAGTCACTTGCTCCTGTGCTGCTGTAGCCCATAATCTCAGCAGGAGCACGTACAGGTGTTGTAGTGAGTGTTATCAGGTGCATGTGGAGGTCACATTCATCCAGACTTGACAGAGGACTGCTCTGTGTAGATTCAGCCTGAGAACTGACTTTACACTTCGATTGGGAGCATTTCCTTCTTTTTATTTTGTGCTCAACACATTTATTCATCAGATAAACACAGAATGTTGACTGAATTACCCTCTTCATTGAGTTTTAGGAGCAGTGTAGATTTGTAGAAAACACAAGTTACAAGTTACATAGATGTCTACAGCGCCACCTGCATGTGAAAGCTTGATCCTGTCAGACCTCAAAAGCTGAGCAGGACAGGGCCTGGTTAGTGCTGTGGTGCAGCTGTAAAGTGCTAAACTCTTGTGTCTATGGTGGTAGCAACACTACCATCTTACACTCACACTTGCCAAAGGGCCCATGGCACAGATTAGTAGCCTTTTTTCTGCCAGTCTGCCACATGGCAGCTGTGGTTTACCACCACCATCTGGACTGAACAAAAAATGCCATGAGAAACCTCTTTGGGTGTCAAAGAGGCTTGACACCCCAAAAAAAACCGGGTAAAAAAAAACATTTTTTAAAAAATATCTTATTTTGTATCTGTTATAAATAAGCCCATGTTAATTCACTATTTACGAATCATGTGCCAGTCTGATGACTGATCATGTTGTGGCAGGGACTAAGGACTGTGTGTTCTTATAAAACCAGTAAAGGAAAGTAGTTGTATTAATTCATGATTATACACTGAGGCTGTGAATTAGCCGTTGGATGACCCGGTGTGGCAGATGATGTAAACCAACCTGCACCTCTGACTGGCCTCATGTTACTCACAGCTTCATGCATTATTTCCCAGAGGGAATGCACTGGGCATGTGCAGGACGGCAGCACAAGTGCCACAGAACAGGGAGCGAATGGAGCTGATGAATCCACCATGGACATATCCGCTTTACCCAACAATAATGACCCAGAGAGGTTCCTCCAGCTGGACGTGGGCATGCTGCCGGCCACACACGGCATGTTCCAGCTGCAGGCGGTGATGTCCTCGCAGAAACACTGGCACAACCGGGTCTATAAGGTAACTGCAGGCCTTCTCATGTCTTTGGATTACAAGTTTGTAATGTTTTTTGAGGGTGTCTGCTTCCTTTGAAGATATATTTAGATGCTTTGAAGTCGTATTCTTTGAAACACACATCTTCTATGGTTACAAAACTGCAATAGAAGGAAATACTTATAGTATTACTGTATTCCAGTACATTCAAGAACACGTATCTTTTCTGCCTAATCCACATACGTTAAAGGTTAACCACCAAAACTAAAAACTACTGAAAAGACACATCCTGTAGTAACAATGTAGACACAGTCATCAGGAAGTCCAGCCCTGGAGAGCAGCTTCAGTGACAGACTGATAACCCCTTACTGTGTGAAGTTGTTCCGCAGGTCTCTCCTTGTTTCTGTCAGACTGTACAAAGAACACAGTTGAGTTCTGTACATATTGTTCCTCTGTAATAACGTGTTTGTAGTAAACATATTTTCATAATTTATTCAATTAGTCCATTCTAATCATTTCTGACATTTACCGGCTATAGGACGAATATCTGATGTTTAACTCCAAATGAGATATTTACACATCTTCATTCTTCCCCAAAAGGGGCTTCATTAAAGGTACAGTATGTGATGTCCCTATTTGTCCACTGTGTTGCAGATGGAGGGGCAGATGCAGGGGCAGATGCATGGGCAGATGCATGGGCAGATGCAGGGGCAGCGTGTGCGAAGTGAAGGCCGGCCCCCGGAGAACAGCCCTGTGGAGTTTGTGGACAGATACTTAGAGAAACACATCACCCCTGTCACTCTAAAGCACAAAATCAAAACCAACCCTTTGTACATAGACTTCACGGAGATGGAGCAGGTGGATTTTGAGAAGAACAAGCCGTCTTGGACTGTGCAAGAGTACGACACACAAACTGTACACGGAAACCTCGCAGACTATTTAAAAGTATGAAATTATAATGCGTCTTATTGTCAATATCGTTTCTTCTTCACAATTGTGTTAGGATGAACGGATTTTTCCTCATAGTGTGTTAGCGTTCTCATTTGTAAATATAAGCACAGGTGATTAAAGACCATACATTTCTGTGCTTCTTAAAACTGAGGTACCTAACTTTCAAAGCACAATAAACGTATCTGTAAAAAAAGTATCTAATTAGTTATCTTTCCTAGTTTCACATGCATTTAAGTATGTATGGCTTCTGTCTATCTTTAGACTGAAAATTCACTCAGTTACTATATGGTGGAAGTGCTCTTTCTCACAAGTATGCAGAGGATAACGTTTTGTAATCAGATGTACATGTTGTATTCTGATTCGCTCACAGCATATACTTTTTCATGATTTTCTGTATTGTATTAAAATCTACACTTTGATTGGGGCTGGTGCTGTGTACTGGGTGCAGCTCTGACTTTCACTCTCCTGACCCAGAAATGGATTAAGGGGAAGAAAATGGATGGGTATTAACATCTATTAATTATGAAGAACAAAAAAGTAGGTACCCCAGCTTTAGTGCAAGTCTTCTCTTGGATATAAATATATGTGCGTATGGTGTGGTAAATTTATGCAATATTTTTTGACCATCCTCTTACAAGCTTTGCATAAGAAATGTTTTGAAAAGCAGGATTAGAAAGTGTGACATCTGCACTTGCTCCGGTCTTGTTTTGGTCTTAATAATCTGGGCTCTATGTGGTAGAAAAGGAAGTCTCTGTGCTCCATAAAGCCGCAGATGTAAGAGAGGGTGAACTTAAAGTGTTCCAAAGACAGTGACATCTCTTCCTTAATGAATGGAATAACGTCAACTTCCTCTTGCAGGAAGGAGAGAAAATGCCCACAGACCTGGACTTCTGGCTGGAGGACCTCTACACGCCAGGATACGACTCTCTACTCAGGAAGAAAGAGGCCGAGGAACAGCGGAAAAAGATCTGCAAATATTTGTCTCTGACACTTTTATCGCTCTGTGTCGTTATAATTGTTATTGTAGTGCCAGTTATGCTCCTTCAAAAGTCAAATTAACAATGTCCTTAAACCAAAGAGTTGAGATCTCAAGAACCATTTGTTCATCTATTATCAGCACGCAGAGACACACACTAACAAACAACAACGTGACATTTAGTAGCTTTCAAAGACCTGAACGATATGGACATAATTTAATTCAAATGTCAGTATATATGCCAGAAGTATATTAATATAGAGATACAATATAAGTACAGGTAGGGTAAATAACAATCATCTGAATTCTTTATTGTTGTAAAAGGTTAAAAACATCTGATCCAAAAGAGCTGAAATTTCACTGTGAAATCTAGTTTTTTTGTTCGGCCATTTCTAAATTATATCGATACATCCTTCAGCCCGAGCTCCTTCAAATCAAGCGTATGTCAGAATTATCAGAGAAAGCAAGAGAGACATTTATATTTTATATATAGCTTGTTTTTGTAATACTTAAAACCCAAATATATCAACCTCAATAAATCTTGAAAACACCAAAAGACATGCAGTTTTGATTCTTTATAATTGATTTATTTATTGCAATAAAGATGTACAAAGTATTGGTAATCATAAATGTTAAAATGTTAGAAAAAGCATATCTCTGACTGTTAACAGTACACTGTATCAAAACATGACTGCTTTAACCGACTGGAGACATCAGAGTGAAACTGGATTGATCTTTGCGCCTGAAGGCATCGAACAGAACTACAGAATCAAAGAGGGGAAACAAAAAACCAGAAAATTAAACATCCTAAAAACCAAAATAATGCAACAAACATAATCAACATGCAAATTAACTTACAACCAACCAGATATTGAGAACAGGGAGAAAGGCTAAACTAAAATAAATACAATTCTAGATAATGAATTTTGAGAATACACAACTCCCTTAATTTGTACCATAAAACTACATGTATTTACAAGTATAAACTGGAAATGTGGACAAGACCATAATAAAACTTCTGATCGTGGCTAAACATGCAACAGGTGGGAGCTGGAAAGGCAAGAGCTTTGGCAAAAAAAATAATGATTTAGATTTCAATGAGATTTGGTTTTCTCAGCAGTAGTATTATAGGTCAGGCTTTACTGTGAACCAGGACAACACTATAATGGTGGAAATATTCCCCCAACACAAATGTCAAACCAGCATACAGCCCAGGTCATTCTGGTACATGTGTAATATATAGGGCTTATATACCATACTCTATCTAAATTACAAATATAGGGAAACCCGTCTTCTTGGTAATGACTACTACATTCAGCCTGACGAATTACTTTGCAAATATAAAATACTTCTACCTATTTGTAACAGAAAAAAAGTGTTCTAACTTTCTGAAAGATTAGGAGCATGTTTGAATTAGTCTATGGACCAGCTGCAGCGATGTTTACGGCTAGCTTGGTCCAATAAACCGGTAAAACAAAGGACACTTACTAAAGCAGGGGTGTCAAACCGGTCCTCAAAGAGCCGGTGAAGCTGCTGGATTTTTATTCCTACCAAGCAGGAGCACAACAGACTCCACTTGGACTAGTTTGACCCCTCTGCACTATAGTGACCAGTGTAACACATGCCTACACTAAATATACCAACATTGCCTGTCGCGTGAAGAGCTTTTGCTTACTGTGCACTAAACATTTAAAAAATAATAATGCTAACTGCTAGCGTAGTGTTTATCATACAGTACAGTACATTCAGCTATTCTACACATTGTCACATTCTTATTCTGAAATTGCATACAAGTCAAACCACTCTAAATATAAATGAATGTAACCGGGAGTTTTAGAGGACAGGAGCAGTGAGCTTAGAGAACTAGAGAACCCTGTTAAACGTGATTAGTTTGTGAGCCTGGATATTCTTATGGCTCCTTCAAAGCCTTCTATACACAAAATGTCGTCACATAGGCATGATTTGGATGTGATGCTTAATCCAAGAAGGTGAAACATCAATAATACATGTCTCCCTACTCTTGCGCCCCGGCTGTAAATGTTAAAACAGATGCGGCGCGTCATCGAGTGTGTTCTGAATCTGGACTCGACATGTTCTCTGTATAGAATGCATTGGGAAAATGGTATGGCAAGCCATTTTATTGTGGCAGTTTATTAACTATGAGAGCTCTATCCAGCATCCACCATCAGCCTGCACAGGACCAAACATTTAAACAGTGAGCAATATAAATCTAGGCATTCATAAAAGTTATATGTAAAGAATGCAGAAATACAGTAATGAACATAACCCATACTTTCATGTGATAGGTCATTATTCCAAGTACATGTGTAACAAGCTCATATGCATAGAGGTATATCTTCAGAGACTTCTCTCACTTTCATTCTTTCTGATCCCATTTAGTCTAGTTCTCCTCAACACAGCAAGGCGTTGTAGAAAAGAGAAATCAGCAGCGGACCGCAGACTGCAGCCAGGAGAGCGCAAACTCAAGTCCAATGTGCCTTTGACGCTGGTCAGGTGCCATGTGACTGCTGAGCAGCCGTGGGCAGATCTAACCTACAGATCAGACGACTAATGCAGCTCAAGATGGAAACAAAATACACTTATGTTAAAACTAATGAATCCACAATTATGACTCTGCTGACTAGCCAGTATGGCTTATAGAAAAAGCAGTGACAATCGTTAGTTCTCCAAGCATTAAGGCAAAGTTCAAACATAGTTTATGGATACAACCGTGACATCTTAGGGGGAAGAGCTGTGCAGGTGACAACAAATAGAATTAAGGAACTACTTCATTTACCTCAGTCAGCAGCTACATGGGGCAACTAATCCTTCCACCCAACCAGACAATAATAAACACATAATCAGACACAGATCTTACTTTTAAGATCTAAATCTACACGTTTAGATTGTGTTGCCAAGTCACTGTGGCTACTATTAGGCAGCTTAAAAGGAAGACTCAAAAGTGAAACCATAACTATGCCCCAATACAAAATTTAAAATATGACAGAAAGTCATTTGATCAACAATGTGGACAGTTACTATTACCTCAAATAATCCACAAAATAAAACCAACAAATTCACATTTAAAACACAAAAAACTAAAGTACTTTCTGCCCACATAAAATATTGTCCGTCTATAGCGATTCTATCTGATTCAAGTGGAAGGCACAACCATAAGGCTTTAAAAGGTTTTGCAAAGCATTCTGTCAGCTTCTCTGAGACAGTGAACATAAAAAAAACCGGAGGTGCTTATTGCTTTTGTCAAACACATAACTGGTCCATCTCATTTAGACAATGACGACATCCAAATTACAAATATAAACATGTGCGGGACTGCCTGAGAGAAAGAAACATGTGACATTTGAACAAAGGGTTAAAAGTAAAGCTAGAGGAAACTAGAATGGAGCAGTGACGTTTGCAGAGGCCTCGTCACACGCAGCGGGTCGGACTTCATGGCGCTCACCGTCCAAACCAGTGTGACGTTGTCCATGGCTGTGTTTCGTCTTCTCTGGGAGTGTTGGGCTTGTGCGTGGGAGTGTTGTTGTTGGTGTGCCTTTAAGAGTAGAAGGTGAGGACGCTCTGGTGGTTTCCACGCACGAGCAGAATGGGAGGCAGGTCCTTGGACAGGACCTCTAACCAGGCCATGTACAGAGCACTGGACACAGCGCCCTTCCTGGCCAGGGGCAGGCTCCTGCAACAGCACACAACCAGGGCCGAGTTAAAGGGGACGTCTGTAACCGTGCTTTATCCATGTGAACAATAATCGCTCATTGTTTTCTTACTCAAAGTTGTATGTTGATTCTATCAGTAACCATTAATAAAGCAGTAGGAGAAGTCACAGAAGTCTATCATTTAAAATAATTCAATTTTGGCTTTGTGAAAATGTCTTAAAACAATAGTTGATTTAACCACTTAATATTTGCATGGGGAAACCTGTACTTACTTATGTTTGCACAACTGATAAGCTACAGTTGCCCCAGAAGCCAGAAACTCACATCCTGACTATTTCCTGACATTAATAAAATAAAATGTGTTCTATTTCTTGCCCAGTGTGTGCCGTTTGTACGGAGCTGATGACTAAAGCTACTACAATAACAAAACATCAGAATAAAACATGAAAATCAGACTCACATGACGATGAGGTTGGCAGTACTGGAGTGCTCCTTCAGCAACTCATTCAGTCTGATCTGGCGATTACTCTGAAACAAATAAAACTTTCGATCAGAATCTGGTTAAAGATAGGAGCCAGGCCAGAGGGGAAGGGGCGGAGCAATAATTTATTATAATAATTATTATTATATTATAATATAATAATACTTTATTATAATAATAATTATAATAAAGTCCTGAACCAAAAAGGTTTGACTAAGTTTTGCGTAGTTATTATAGAGGAAAGTTAAAGCTGGACTATCTAAATTTATTTTTGTATTCATTAGGGAAATTCAATCCTTATCCATGCAATGCACTGGGATATACGCCCTTTTAAAAGAAGTAACGCAGGTTTGTACAGGACTGTACATTTATTTTAGGACAAGATTTTGTGCAACGTGGAAGAGAATTTGATTCGGGACCAATTACAGCGGACCACTGGCCCCCACTTTTTTGATAAAATCTACAGGTCTCTGGTTAGCAGACAGCTGAGGTAAACAAGCATCATGGCAGGGGCTAACCTGAATCTTCCTGTGTCTTTGGGACCGGTGACTGCTTACACAGCAAAACAGCCAAAAGAAAGTCCCGTCCTCTCCGCGCTTCCCAGTTCTATCATTCTATGGTCACGCCATCCACGTTCAAATGTGCGATCCATATTGTGAGACGCTAGCTCCGTAAACAGCACATGAGCACACGCCGAGTGGGACGCCCCCGACTAGAGTTAGTCCAGCTTTAAATTACTGTTCAAAAAGTGTGTAATTCAACTTAAAATATGAAACTGATGTGATACAGACATTACACACAAGATTAGATTTGGAGATTTTACTAACTGTGAGCCAGAATCATCAACATAACAAATATAGCCGTGACATTCGATACATTTTCATATAAGGTGCAATCATTGAACAACTGGATATAGATTTTGTGCAAGTGACCTTTGCACGGTACAGCTCCAGCTCATTGTCTGTGATCCTCCAGGGTTCACTGTTCTTCAGCCTCTCAGCCGCCTCCTGCTCCATGTCGTCCTCCTTCAGCCGATAGGGTTCAACCATCTCCTCAAAGGCAGTAACGCTGAGGAGACATTCAAATACCGCCATTTCAGACAAGGACACACAAGGGCAACCCTCCACATCAGTCAAGTTTGTGTTGCTGCTACAAAGACAGACCACTTGGGGGCAGAAGTGGCCACATTAAGTTTACAATCTGCAGACACCAAGATTATGCAAAAAAAATTTAGATTACAGACAGAAATCAAACACTGCTTCTTACATACTATTTCACTACAGGTAATGGATCATTAGAAATTCAAAATAATATAATAATATATTTACGGATAACACTGTACTCATATGAACCATGACTTTGTGCAGACTTACCTTTCCTTTTTGGGCTTCACATTAATGTCCCCCAGCACAGTGATGTCAGAGAAGTCTATCCTGAACTTGCTCAACAACGTCGCCATCCTGCAGAGAAAGCACATGTCACAGTGAGGTCATCCCATCCTCAGTGATGTGGATGCAGCTCTCTGTGAGTCACGCTTAAGGCAACTCTAAATAGCTCTGTTTGAAGATGGGCTTTCAGAGGAAATGCACCTGAAGACCCTGAGCAGAGGCTGGGGGCACTTTCCCAACATTCACCTCAAAACAACAAGACACAGCACTCAGAGCTGCTCAGTGTGATAAGAAAAGATAAGATAGACTTTATTGATCTCACACAGGAGAAATTTACATGTCACATTTGGCATGGATAGAATCACCCAAGATTTGTGCAAAAGAAAAGTGTGCAAACATGTTAAATGCAGGATATATTATGTACGGTAAAAATTGGCTAATAAAGAAACAGTGGCAATAGTAGTGCAGGATACGTTTGAATTTTAGTCTCACAGGTACTAATGCAACAGTGAAGTAGCAAAGTTTAATATCAATAATCACAACTTCAGAATTATGGAAATGAAAACCAATTTTAAAAAAAAATTTTTTAAACCTTACATTAGACTTAAACTTTATGAGGAGGTTTTTGACTCAGATAATTCAATACTGATTGCAGAAGACATCTGAAAATCTGTTTGAAAAATAAAAATAACATTCATTGATTTTGTTTTTTCATTCATTGTGAGATACTATGCGAGCTAGTATTCCCTTGTGGATCAATAAAGTCTGTCCAAGTCTAGGTCATAACCAGTCATCTATATGAAGATGTTTTCCAGGGGCATCACTGGTGCCGTTTTGGTGAAATGTGTAAAACAAAAAAAAACATCTCTACTGACAGCTCAAACAGTTATTCTACATCACAAATACATTCAACACGATGTAAAACCGAGGGGCTAAAAACAGAGGAAATACAGACGACTCGTACCAAGCTAATTTTATCCAACAAAAGGATGTAGGAGGCAGCTGTAGAGGACAATGAGAGACAAAAGAGGCGGGGAAGTGCACGCACAGCACAAGTGAGCGAGGGGCGCTGGTTGGAGCCTTGTGGTTGGAGCGTTAGCAGTTGTAGTTTCTTTACGTTTGTGCCTCAATAAAACAACGGGTTTTGAGCAAAATAAAAGAAATTAATAACTGCATCAGTGCATGTTGGGAACCATCAGCCCACAGCAGTAAAGCAAAAAAGATGTTTTTCTTATTTACATTTTTGTCAAATTGTGCTTTTAATGAAAGATGTACTCACGCTCTGCGGTCATGGTCAATGCGGTTGATTTTGCCCCCAATAAAGACACGGATTTTACAGTCCTTCCACCTCTTCTTGTTTGTTAACAGATAAGGAATCAGCAGAGTAAGACCTGGGAAGATACAGCCACATTCTAATTACTTATTGTACATAAGACATAAGACCCTAACCATAACCCATGAGTCTGCCCTCGATTATAAATCCCATGGAGTCCCAGTGATCACATTATGTAAAGTAAGTTCTTTATAACGAACATTGGAACTTTTATTTTCCCCTGAAACCAGAAATAACTTTCAAATGCACTAGTTCTGGCTTGCCTACTGTAGTCAGACGATACAAGTGAAGAAAAATGAATACATTAGGGTAGTTAGGAACATTGGCTGAATAAGACATAATACTTCAAGTCCAATTTAGTTTGATGAAGTAAATCTGTGCGGCGATTAAAGTGTGAAATAACAATGGTTTCTACTGGGCGTTTACTGGCAAGTAACTATGTAAACTGGATCTATTGAGACAGGGCCAGCAGTAGCATTTAGGATCACAAGGAAGAGTCTTGCTTGTGTTATAAATGTGTGTATTTGGACACAGACAAGTTGATGTCTAAAGGGCAGAAGCAGCATTGTGCCCAATTCTGTGCCCTAGTCATAATGTCTAGTTCTCTACTTCTTTCAAGTATCCGTAAAAAATTCAGTTTGCTGGAAGGTTAAACCCTGTGAAGTCAATGGCTACTTGAGAAGAATAAGATAAGATAAGATGTACTTTATTAATCTAACACAGGAGAAATGTACATGTCACGTTTGGCATGGATAGAAACACTGGATGATTCATACAAACTTTGTGATCAGACACAAAAAACCAAAACAATTTATACCGTGAAAAGTCTTTATAATGTCAACATATGCATGATTTGGACAGAAGATCAACAGCCATTTTTGAGCAGAAAAACTCACCGCCGTCATCGAAAAGCCACCACACGTCCACGGTGCCTTTGCCCTGCTTCTTCTGGAACATCTGACTGGAATCCAGGAGCCTCTGGTCGGCCACGTTCAGAGGGAGAGTCGGACTCCTCTTGTCTGCAATCCACAAAGGGACAGATTTAGCGTGTTCAAAGGCCACTCAAATCAAACTTAATTACAGACATTGTTTTGATATCTAGTAATAAACCACACTAGGTTGAGTTCATGTCGTACAATTCTATTTCTGTTGGAGGGCAGGCGCCAATTGTTCTTATGTCTGAAAGTCCCTTCAACTGGCCAACATCATGCACACGCTTTAGAAAATTTTTAGTTTTATGAGAAATTACTTAGACCCTAATTGATATTTACAGACAAAGATTATGTTGAACTCCATGTGGATTGACCAAAAAATTCCTCTTGACTCATTTCAGCCTCCCTCCACAACAATATTAACTATAGGCTCTTTGGAATGTTGAGATGTCACATAATCACAACCCATTGGTTTGCCATGACATAGATAACATGAAAAAAAAAAAACATATGAGCCTTGTATACAAATAGATACTTTCAACTCCAATTAGTGTGATTATTACTGAATATAAAACAATGGAAGTTAAAGAAAGCGGACAAACAAGTTGGGAGTAGACGGCGTTAAAGACGAGAGCTGAGGAGTTTTCTTCCTGGAATAGAAAGCCTTACAGACGGCCAGACAAGCGGCCGTCGTACCAAAAGGTCAAAAGACAGTTTGCAGCGCTGGCACACATTCAAAACCCGAGTCAAGGCTAAAGAGGTTTGAGACGCACTCACACAGAGCTGCAAAGACAAGTCAGAAGGAAAGAACTGACTGTTAGAAATTGTCCTTGGAAAAACATCAGAAGGACACACAAGAGCCACAAACTGTGGACAGTGTTTTGGTTCTAATGAATGGTTTGATATAGTTCAGGATAGGAAATTAATGGAACAAAAGCTGCGAGGAGGGAAGTGGACAGCAGGAAATTTGAAAAACAAGAAAAGATTTTAGGAGAAAGCAATAAAATACATGCCCTGCCTTTTCTCAACAGTGGCTGAGTTGGAGCTTTGCCATCATCCTCGTCATCTGAAAAAATGTAAGAAATGCAAACACAAATGAGATGAAGGTTTCGTGTGAAAATGAGTGACCTTGAAAACACATCGACAGCCAAAACCCTAAAAGAACTACTGTTCACTAATAGATTGGATGTAGGGGATGCAAACATTGAGTCATGGAAAATCACTGACCATTTTCCATTGGCAGCGCTTTCTACTGAAGGCTTAAGGACTTTCATCCCAAAATATGAGTTTTGAACAATGAAGCTACAATTGTGAGCCAAGGCTTGTGTGCCGGGTCAAAATTACCTGCCGCGGATTCATAAACATGAATAAGACATTGTTAATACAAGTGATTCCACAGAGATGATGAATATGATTCAAGCTACAATTCCCCCATGAGAAACAAGATCTGTCATAATGAGTGACTGAGTGTGAGATCCAGAGAATTATTTTACAAAAACTAAACTTTCTGAAATCAACATGATACATTTCTTACATAATTAGATGGTGGAATTTGAGACGGTTTAAGAAATACTAGGAAGTGTGTGTGTATGTTAAGTACAGAGAACAGTGAAATGAAATGCTTAGCGGAAGCACAAACTAAGCTAATTTGCTCCAGTCAAACTGCATCTATAAAGTTGGTTGTAGAGAGGTACACAATCATCACAATAGCTTTAGCAACCTGGTGAAGGCATTTGAAAACTCAAAAAATCTTCTTGATTCTCACTAGGGGACAACTGAAGTAAATGTGCAGTATTACAAATTTAAAAAATGTTTAAAGGATTTTGTTTCAAAGATATTGGTGTTTAGAGAGCTGTAGAGTCTGTTTGCATTGATGGATGTGAGCAGTTCCCACAATGAAGGCGGAGCATTAAAAACTTCACTAATACAGACATGCACACAGACACACAGGACACTGTGGCCCAAGACATCTGCGGACAAACAAACTGGGCCCAGTGGGATCGCAGGGGTCACAAGTCACTGAGGCAACTTCCTCTCACAGTGCGCTGCATGTTTGAATGTGTTGTATGACTAAAGCCATTAGTGCTAAAGCTCTTACACATAAAACATTCTGCATTCAGAAAACAAGTCGACTGAGCTATAAATAAATTGAATCTTCCTGGTGTAGTTTAAGTCAATTTTCATTTGGTGACAAATGCTGAAAATAACACACGTTTTTGACAATATACTATGTTGCCAAAGCAGGTAAAATGCAGTAAACATGTTAGAGATTGACCTTTGGCAATGGCTGGGCTGTTCTGGAGACTGGTCGCCTTGGAGGAGGGCTTTGACGAATCAGCGTCTGAGTCTTTGCTGGTGTCTATGGACACAATCACATCTTTGGTCCCAGAAGACTTCTCTTGGGAGGAGAGCAGCTCATCTGGGGATAGGGAACAGCAGAAGCATAAACAACATACAATACATAAACTACAAACACACAAAGCCATTACATGTAATACCCGAATAACTGACATTTGCTCAATTATATATAAAATATGAAAACTGCACATTACCTTGTCCTTGAATATGAGAGACATCCAATCCCTCCTGAAGACGCAAAATAACAGCTCCATACTGGAAGTCAAAAGCGTCGCTATGAAGAGAAATCAAGACATTAAGTTTTAAAATGCTGATGTTCTTTGAATGTGTATGAAGAGCCATGAAAGGGGGCACATAGCTCAGTGCATTAGAGGTGATTTCAATACTGTGGCCTGAGCCATCTTTGACCTTCAACACTAATGCTATAATCCTCACATGTTTTTCTCTTCCAGCGATTCAGGCAGAAGGACAGAGTTCCCTGTTTATTAAGGTTAATTGAGGCCATGGGATTGGAGACAGAGATACAGAAGGCACTTTATGACTTTTGTTTACTATAAAGAGCATGTGAAGACAATGATCAATGAGGGAAATGAACCTAATTTCATTTTAGGAAGGAGGAGTAGTAGCTTCTGCTCTTACTGGTTTTATAACAATAAAAAAAAAACAATGTTGAACACACACTCCAGTAGTGGCTCCTTTCAGCTCCATTCACCAAGTTTCTACATCTGCTCAGGTCCAGGTAGAGAGCAAAGCTAATGGAGTCCACCAAAATGTTAACACAAGATGAGGGGGACTTTCTGGTTGAATTCCTAAACATAAAATGTCAACGTAATGCGACTTACTGGATCATGCTGATGTACGTCTCCACATTCATCATGTCACCGTCCCTCCAATCGTTTTTAAAGCCAAGCACCAGAGTGTTTGGCCGGAGACGACCCAGGCCAGCAGCCTTTAACAGAAGAGCAAAAGCAGATGTGATTTGACCCGTTTTAAGACAGGATGTTTAAAAGAGTCGCACCTGCAGCAGATACTGTGCTCCCTGTCGCATGTCTTCAGCAAACACTGATGTGTAGAACCCCTTTGTCTCGTTCTTGAGCAGCCAGCGCTGGTAACGAGCTTGTTCTGTGGCAATATCTTTGAAATTTGGCCTTCTGTAGCCCTGCAGAGCACAAAGACAGAATGATCATAAGAATCCAATTTACTTATACAGTCACACTTCACATTCACACATGAGAAATCGACCCTCCCATGGAATTCACTTTATCTTGAAGACCTTACATTTTTTTAATGGGACCAGAGTTTGAATACTTTGTTTAAAGACATTTTCATTCTAGATATTAATTAATTAAGTGATCTGGTACAAAGACTGTAGTTAATTTATGAATGTTCTCATTAACTTTCAATGGAGCACTTACCAAGTAGAAACACATTTTAGTACCAGTCTTTGTAAACTGTTTGCACCAAATACATAGTCCCACTAATCTCAGGTGCACTTACAAATTCCAAAATGAAGGACATATTTTTAAGTTCTGAAGAGTTAGCTCCTGCTTTTTTTTGTCTGAATAAAATGTACTGAGGTTCAGGTGCCTTATTATGTAAACATTCCAAAAAAGTGCAATGCTAATAGCACACATTACCCAGCATTAGTTCTACTTCATGAAAAAAAAACATTGAGGCATGTTAATTGTAAATTGATTAAATCTTAGTGAAACATGTTTATTAGAAACAAAATAGTTGTTTATCAGAGACCTTTTTGTAATGCTCTCAGTGGTAATTGAGGGCAGAGTGGCAGCAGAGCCTCGGGCCAGAGGCCACTTGTGGAGTTACAGAGCTGTGCTGGACAGAGTGTGCATTCATTTGGTCTAAATGGGCTTTTTCCATTGTGAGGCAGCAACACCGAGCTGGGATTTGTAAAAGGGTTTCTGCTCTTGTTTGTGCTGAAGCAGAAAAAAAATGAATCACAGATGTGAACTGTTCAGCCAAGGTGAGGACCCAAAACTTTCATCTTTTCATATAATCTGTAGGAAACAATAACAGAATTACTACAGCTAAGGAGGAGTTTTGAAACATTTTGTGAATCTCAGCGTAGGGTCATATTATGAGCTTTGATACACAAAGATACAGTCTACAAACTGTTGTTGCTGTAAACCGTTCAAGTTTTTGAGGCGTGAGCAAAAACATTAACATTTGGCATAGAAAAACAAAACATTACTCACTGTGCGGACATGACCACAAATCATCAGCCCAAAGTTTTTAGTAAAACTTTGGACAAGATCGAGAAGTGCAGGTCGAGAGTTTGGATAACCAGTCATCACCAAACATTGGGGTCTACAACATAAAATACACTTGATTAGAACAAATATCTAGACCTAATGGATCTAAACCTTTACTTGTCAAACAGGACAGAGAAAGGAGCAATCCAGCACCAGGGCAGCGTACTTCAAAGCAACTATGTTAAGCACCAAAGGATTTAGCTGAGGCAGTGAGAGGAGACTCAAGTAATTCTAAAGACACTCTTTGTTAATCTCTTGCCAGCGCCGCTTCCATGGGAACTGGTCCCATGACAATGATCATCAACTTTATTGAATCTGTACTCTGGAAAGTTAGTCAATTTATTTAAATACACTAGAACAAGGTTAGAAAGTGGAAAACGTATTTGTACATGAATGCTTGATGACGGATAAAAGAGCAAAAGATATTCATTGTCTGACTTATATCGGCCTTACCTCTTCCCATCAGGCTGATATGCTTCCAAGACGTGACATGTTAAGATCTGTTTCAATTCAAACATAACTATTCCTTTTGCTCAGAAAGACATATCTACCCCAAATGTATTAGAAATGGAATCCACCTGGCCAGAGAAACACATTGTCTCGTTCGTTTATACCTGAAATTCTTGACGTGGTCTTCGACTCCGCTCAGATGCAGCGTGTGGGTTAGAGCCTGGTGATAGGTCAGCGCCTGGGTGGAGGAGCCCCAGTTCACATCTGGAGTGCGACACATGTGGACAGAAACACAGCGACGTGAGGACTGGACCACAGGCCGGCTGACCCATGTGACCCACGTGGTGTTGGGCCCACCAGTGTGTGTGTGTGGAGCTGTGTGGCAAACTGTGAGTGTATGCAGGTGCGAGCTGCATCCTTTACTCAAAGCGATGACTTTTTACACAAGTCTAGCTTTACCATATCTTTAAATGCATCATAGTCCAATAAATAAACTCCTTTATCTTAAACAACACCAGTCCAATGTGTGTAAAATTGTAGTGTTCATATTTACCCGGCTTCTTGTGGCTCACATAGATGTAAAGACCCAGAACGATGACATTGGTGAGGAGAGCAGCCCACCAGTTAATGACAAACATGACCACGCAGCACAGGACTGCTCCGGCCAGAGACACCCACATGTTGTAGTATTTGAAGCTTGGACGCCAACCTGTGTTGGCGGCAAAAAGTTATGGACAAAGAACAGGCAATCTTGCATCTGAAATACTGGACTTATCAGAAGTCTTGAAAGAAGTCAACAGACATTTATGAAATAACATGTCAAAAAGCAAATAAAACCGTTAAATTGCTTAAAAACAGTTAACGTGTTTAGTTCACATTATGTGTTGAAGTTAAAAAATGAAGTTAGCAGCCTGTTAGACCGGAGACCATAATGCTATAACAGACATTAGGGGCTGTATTGGCAGGGTGGATACCACAAAACTAGACTAGGATTTTAGTCATGGATAGTTCTCTGTTTGTACGGACTTAATACAATCTGCAGGACATAAAGGGTACACTGACTGTGTATTGTGCCATTAATAATTGCAGGATGGAGCTCATTAGCCAAGAAGGGCTAAAGAACAGAATTGTCTTCACAGTTAGTGGTTCAAGAGGCAGTAAAATCCATTAGCCAGAGCTTATATTGCCTGTTCCTATGCATGACTCATGTACCTTTTACGTCCTTATAATTTTATGAACTGCTGTAGGTATTAGTGGCAGACAGAATCTGTACCTGCAGTTCTGCTAGAGCTTTGATATCGAGAGAAAAAAGAACAACAACTCAGTGTGATACAACCTCAACAGATTAAATTACAGCAAACCACATCAACTCAAAGGAGTTTTATGAAAATGCATTTTCAGCAAAGAACACAAATCACTCTTTTTAGCATAGGTTTTGTTCTTACCAGGCGAGTTGGCGAGTGAGGCATGGAACACTGAAAAGTTGATCAATGCATATGACGCAAGGAAGAAGTTGGAAATGATTGGGGCAATCACATTCAGTTCAGCTAGGAAAAAACAAAACAAAACACACACACATTGTTAGGAATTGTTATACACAACGGCTATAGAACCAACATCTTACCAATGAGGATGAAAGCCAATGCGATGCCAAAGGTTAAGATATAACCACGAAGAGGCTCATTGTTCTTGCCATAACCTTTGGCAAACATTTCCAGGCCTGGATAGATGTTGTCTTTGCACAATGCCTGAATAAAAACATTACCATTGTGTCAAAGTCCCCAGCATGGATTCAGTATTCAGATTATCTCATATGTATCATTATGAACATATCAACAGGAGGGATAGTGCAATTCACTCTATATTATTAATCTATCTAGGCCATTTTCTTGATAAGTTGTATTTTTAGAGTTAATGATTTATTATGAGCAGTGATGTGTAGTGATCTTTCAGGCCCCAACTTCACTTACCTGAAAAACCTTAGGCGCACTGACCAAAGAGGCCAGAGCAGAGGAAAGTGTAGCAGAGAAAATGCCAGCACTGATGATTGGTCCAAAACCAGAGACCAAACTCATAACCTGGTAATAGCAACACATAAATGTTAAAGGAAAAAAAATCTTGACCATTTTTCATTAGCCTCATTTTTCTTCGGCCTCGTACCTGGAAATCATTCTGTAGACCAAAGCGACAGCCCTCCTCTGAGTTTTTGCAACTGGAGAAGTCAAATCCAAATTTACAGGCCGCATCAGTGCAGTTAGACATGAAAAGGGAGCTGACTGTGTCATTTATATTTCCACTTGCATCTCGAACAATGCAGGAGCCTGTTGTGGACATAATAGGAAAATGAATTAACCAGTTTAAATCTTTATTATTAGAATGCAGCACAAACCTGTGGAAACTGCAACTCCCAAGTAGACTATTCCAGTTATCAAAATGGCGAGAAGGGTTCCTCTTGGAATTGCCAATTGCGGATCCTATAAAACAGCAATTATTATTACAAACACATCATACAACTAAAATATCTATGATGTTGTTTTTGTGCCAGTAACAAAATACTTACAGAAAGATCCCCTGAAATGTTTGCACCAGCCAAAATACCGGTGGCTGCTGGAAAGAAAATAGCAAAAACAGAGAAGAACGTTTCCCCCCTAAAATCTGGGCCCATGTTTTCCCACATTATAGAACCTAGGACAAAAAGGTCTTTAGTTACAAGGTAAAATAAATAATTCAGCATTGGGCTAGTATAGTAAAATGTCTAACCATCGTATCCAAAGAAACCTGAGGGTTCCTTAGCTTTGACAGAAATGAATGACCCGATAAAATAATTGACAATGGCTGTGATGAGAACCACTAGCAAGAAGATCTGGGCCTAAGAAATGAATAGCTGTGTTAGTAATTAGTAGAAACTGAGTGCAAGTGATTGTAGCTGGAGATTACCCACCTTTGCCTCCCACTCCATTCCTGCCAGAGAGATGCCCAGCAGAAGAATGACTGTGATAGTGCCGATTATTCGAATATCATTCATTTGATCCGTCATAATCACGTCTGCACCCTGGTTGAGACGGAAGCCGGTGGGTATTAACATTTGACAAAAGCAGGATAGGTCAGCTCTTGTCATTGAACACTTACCGCGAGAAGTTCTACAACTGTTTCAGCGAAGCCCACCACATACATGGCCACTGCCACAGCATTAGCAAAGGCAAAGATCAGACCTATAGAGCCTCCAAACTCTGGGCCCAAACTTCTAGATATCAGATAGTACGCTCCACCTGGAATAAAATAATAAAACAGACTGTAAACAACTGTAACACTTACACACAGGGTGCTTGCTCTTTTTCCAAATTAAAATTCCAGACTTTTTTTAAACTGATATTTTTTATCCCAAGACCTAAACTTTATGTACTTGTATACTTGTGTGCCTACTGCCCACTTCACTGGTTGAGATTGTACCAACTGTGTTTATTAGAAATGTAAAAAAAATGTAATCATACTTTCCCCCCCCCATTCTTAATCAAGACTTTCACACAAAATTCACCACCTGCAGGAGGATCAGTGAGGGGCTGGTGCTAAGTGTACTGGGTGCTGCCCTGACTGCCAACCCCCGCCCCAGAAATTGATTAAAGGGAACAAAATGGATGGATGGCCACAAAATTCAAAACTTTTCAAGGTTTGGGAAACAGCGTTTCAAAATTCCATACTTATTAAGACTTTCAAGACGTGCACAAGCACCCTGTACACAGAAGTCACACAGCTAATAATACATGTCCTTGTGTAGATAGGGTTAGGGAGATAATTGTACAAAATTTAACCACAGTACTTGCTGGACTATTAAGAGCATGTGTATATAAAACCCTACCAGCTACATTTTAAGGGGAAGTACGCTTTGTCCACATACAGGCTGCCGGTTTTCATGTTGTAATGTAACACTTAACCAACAGCTGATGGAGCAAAACAACGCACTGTTGACTTGAGATGATCAAAGTGCTTTGGTAAATCTCCCGTTAACCCCCCTTCTGCTGTTCACATAAACACACCAGGAAGCAGGAATGTGTGTTACGTCATCAGCTCTGAAGATAAACAGCTGATAGAGTCAAGTTCAAATCCCTCCCTGCATTCAAAGCTGCATCTAGGCAGCGCGGTATAGTCCAGAAAGTACTGCATCCTCTTGTTAGATGATTATAATAGAGAATGATAAATAATCACCTCCTCGTACGAAACCGTTGGTGGCAATGGCAGACGTAGACAGTCCAGTGATGGTGGTCACTACTGTGGCCATGCCGACAATTACACAGGAGAGAACTGCCAAAGACAAGATGTGCTGAACTTTTTAATGAAATATTTCACATCAAAGAGTTTGTGAAATGTAGCACTACAGTCATTAGAGAAGCTCACAGCTGCGCTCTACCACATGTTCCACTTTATAGAGATATTTGACATTGAAGTGAAGTACTATCATCAAGTGCCAGCCTGAGATAGTTGAGGGATGTGTGTCACATCAGGCCAAAGGGAAAAACTGAGTATTTGTATTGTGTCCTCAGGAGTTTGGCAAATATGGGTGAGATACAATAATCACAATACCCACCCCAACATGTAGTCTGATACTCCTATAATACTAATACTATTAATATCTTTACCCAGAATGAAAAGCAATGAAAATGTTTGAGAGCAATGTGCAGCGTTGTTCTGAGTGACACATCCCACACAAATGATGACAGTGCCACTGTGATGGACAAATAACTCAAAATATTGAGAAATAGGACTTACTTTGGTACTAAAGTGATAAATATCTACCAGAACTATCCATCAGAAGGAAAGTTTATTTGCCAACACATTCCAGAACGACAACTACAGGCCGTGTAGAGTTATAACAGTCAATTATCAGGCTTCAATAACTTCCTTTTGGTACAACTTACCAATACCAGCTTGGCCCACAATCCATGACATTCGAATGAACAGCATCACACCCCAGATGTTAAGCATACAACGGACCTAAAAAAAAAAAAAGTTAATATAAATTAAATACTATATATTTATTTTATTTCAAGTTCCAATTTATCTCAAGAGCAGGATATTATTAAGTCAAAGGAAGTTGAATGAGGCATAGAACCACAAGAAGTAGAGAAAACGCCTGCAAATAATAAGTGCTGACTCACATCTGAGAGGAATGTGAGATTTCTTCTTGTGGTTCTACAACAGCCTCCTGTGATTCCCACTTATGTTCCAGAATCCACACAAGCATCTAAAGTAAACTGCTCCACACTTCTCAACTCATTTGACTCGCTTTACTGAAAATACCATCACATCGCAAAGATGTATGTGTGCAGGTGTTAGAAGTGTGCCAAAATATGAATTTTCTGACATCACGATAGTTTGTCTCACAATCAATTGTTGATATGCCATTTCAAAGTATTGATGAATTAACTAACTTCTTCATATTTGAATGAATGAGGCTCAACGAGCGCCAAAATGGCCTGTTATACATACAAGAATTTTTTTTTATAAGGTCCCGCCTTCTGAAATGTATCCGCTATGAAGCAGACCCAGAACCTCGTGTGAAGCTCAGCAAACTACAAGGGTCTGGCGAGAGTCAGACTACAGATTCCCAGCCATAGTGAGTATGTATTGTGTGCGTGTCTGTTGCACTGTTTGCACGTTGAACAAATAGTAGGAAAGCACCAATAAGAAAATGTTGTCCGATATAGATATTTGACATACATTTTTTTGTTGTGGCAGATGACCAATATAGATGTGTTTTTTTAATCCATTATCTGAGATGATAGTTTATGCATTCTGAATTTATTCCTATTTTTTCAGAATGTATTTATTATATAGTTAGAATGGGCGATGCAGGAAAACGCAGAGAGGAACTTTTTGCGGCTTTGTATCACTCTTATTTTAGTGAAAACTTTTTGATGCAGCATATGTAGTACAGTGCCTTGCGAAAGTATTCGGCCCCCTTCAACCTTTCAACATTTCAGGCTTCAAACATAAAGATATACAATTTTAATTTTTTGTCATGAATCAACAACAAGTGGGACACAATCGTGAAGTGGAACGAAATTTGTTGGATAATTTAAACTTTTTTAACAAATAAAAAACTGAAAAGTGGGGCGTGCAATATTATTCGGCCCCTTTATTTTCAGTGCAGCGAACTCACTCCAGAAGTTCAGTGAGGATCTTTGAATGATCCAATGTTGTCCTAAATGACTGATGATGATAAATAGAATGCACCTGTGTGTAATCAAGTCTCCGTATAAATGCACCTGCTCTTTGATAGTCTCAGGGTTCTGTTTAAAGCGCAGAGAGAACCATGAAGACAAAGGAACACACCAGGCAGGTCCGAGATACTGTTGTGGAGAAGTTTAAAGCCGGATTTGGATACAAAAAGATTTCCCAAGCTTTAAACATCAAGGAGCACTGTGCAAGCAATTCTATTGAAATGGAAGGAGTATCAGACCACTGCAAATCTACCAAGACCTGGCCGTCCCTCCAAACTTTCATCTCAAACAAGGAGAAGACTGATCAGAGATGCAACCAAGAGGCCCATGATCGCTCTGGATGAACTGCAGATAACTACAGCTGAGGTGGGGATGGTGTGTTCAGGGTGATGAGCTGTGTTGCTTTTACGCCAAACATATCGTTTTGCATTGTGGCCAAAAAGTTCGATTTTGGTTTCATCTGACCAGAGCACCTTCTTCCACATGTTTGGTGTGTCTCCCAGGTAGCTTGTGGCAAACTTTAAACGAGACTTTTTATGGATATCTTTGAGAAAAGGCTTTCTTCTTGCCACTCTTCCATAAAGGCCAAATTTGTGCAGTGCACGACTGATTGTTGTCCTATGGACAGACTCTCCCACCTCAGCTGTAGTTATCTGCAGTTCATCCAGAGTGATCATGGGCCTCTTGGCTGCTTCTCTGATCAGTCTTCTCCTTGTTTGAGATGAAAGTTTGGAGTTCTGTAATTGAGTATCCACTAGCAAGCCTGAACATGGATTGCGCGATTGGTTTTGCCTGCGCCGGCAGATGGAGTAAGTTTGCGCTGTTTTCCTCTTGTAATAAACTCCTGCAAAAGAGAAACACATCCAAACCATTCTCGTGGTTTTTCTTATTTAACACGTACAGTGTGAATGAGTCCCCTTTTTTCAATAATGAGGAGGATTAAGCGTCTGTTATAGTGACGACAGAGGAGAGTTCTGAAAAATACTACAATTAATAAGCAGGCCCGTCGCAAGGGGAGTGCGAGGCCCTGTGCGAACTCGAAACGCGAGGCCCTGCCCTGACACTTTTTTCCCAGATCTGAGGAAAGTTTTTCCTGTTATAATCTTTGACATGAATTCAGCACCACGCGAGGTGGTGCAGCACGCGCGTAGCCGAGTGTCTCCAATGCAGCGTTTGGCGCACGCACACACGCACACACACACTACGGCGCTTGGTATTGCAATATTGGTCGCGGTCTTTTTAGCTGACATGTCTCTTTCGTCCTGTGGCAAAATGGCAGAGAAACTCAAAAGATTGAACCAAAAGGAGTCTTTTTCTTCTAATAGTTAGATTTTGGCAAAATGCGCCAAAATGGCTATGAGACGGAGTCAATATTTGTTTTTTTTTCTCATCAAATAACGTTTTTGCCATGCCTCCACACATTCTGACATGACAACATACGCTCCTTCTCCTCCTCCTTCACACTGACCACAACAACATACTCTTCACCTCCTCCTCCACACACTCTGACCACAACCTACACGCTGCTCCTCAACACACTCTGACCACAACAAAAACAGAGTTTTATGCCAAAAATCCACTCCACTCGCAGTGGGCGCTAAAGCTAGACATGCAGTGTTGTTTGCTAATGCTTTTAAAAATATGTTTTTGATGTGGATATTCGGACTAAACATTGGCAATAGCAGCGCTCACACACCTGTCTCGCTGATCCTCCTCCTCCTTCTCTGCTCACACAAAGGGGTCTGCTCCTCTGCTCACACTTGTCTCACTGCTCCTCCTCCGCGAGTATCCATCTCTCCTACACTGCGATCATTCCCGTTACTTTCTTCGTATCTCACTCAGACACTGCTAAAGTTATCTGACAGCTCCGTAAAGTTTTTTCGGAGGACCCGCTGCGTACATAGCTGCCCGCGCGCCTGCCTGTTTACAAATCGCTTTTGGTGAAAATTTAACTTTACTTGTAAAAATGTTCTTTTGATCAAACGAAATCAAAGAGGTCCCGAGAAAGGGGTTTAGGGGTCAAAACTTGGAGTGCAGCCTACCCTTTGGGGACCCTTGAACTAGTGTATTTATAAAAAAAAAAATAAAGGAAGGAAGATTGCGAGGCCCCTGTGTGGTGCGAGGCCCTGTGCGATGGCACAGGTCGCACAGCCCTTCCGACGGGCCTGTTAATAAGGCACAAATGTTACTTTTGCCATATAACATGTCCACTCACCAGGACGCCCTTTACCCAGCCGAACTTGACCACGCCTTTGGACTCAGCCGCCTCCTTTGCAGCAGCCTCCTCAGCAGGAGTGAGCTCATCACCATTGGCAAATCCATCTTCAAACGGCTCCTAAAAACATCAGAAATGATAAATTAAGTATACCATCAGTTTTGGATAATTTGTGAGGAATATATAATATAATATAAAATATTTTCTCCAATTGCATTGGCAGAATGGAAAGCATTCAGGAAACGTGTCCTGTCATTAAAACACAGGAAGCCTCTTCCTGTGAACAGACAATGGCATGACGTCGGTGGCTTCTCCACAAAGATGTGCAACACACATTCATAGAGTTGTATAGAACTGGTCCGTCTCGGAAACATAGTCTTCCACCTGCCGCTCGTGGAGCATTAAACCAACTTGTTGACCCCCACAACGATACTGCAGAGGATCCCCATGCTTTAGTTTGCATTAACGCCAATCTAAAGTTCTTTGCCATTATTTATTTAAAGTGATAGTCTGTAACTCTAAATTAATTACACATTTTAGGAAATGTGTTAAATTGACCTCCTGGCCTTAAATGTTGATATAAAATAAGTCATTTTATTAATTCTAATATTACGGGCAAGTCCCGCCTTCCCTGCTCTTAGCTATAGTTCAGAATCCACGGTGCCGTCGAGGTTAACCAATTGAGTCATGCCAAGGGATGTCAATCATCGGCGCTGATGCTCGCAGCCGCGCGCATGCGCAGTTGTTTGTTTTCGCGGAGCCTCTATTAGGCTCTGGAACTACATGAAAACTGAACAAAGAATTCTGAACATCCACGCTGAGGTACTTATGTATATACTGAACCTATATCCATAATCAGATCCTCTGCAGATGTGTCCTATAATGTGCAATTCATGATAATAGCACTTCCTGGTTTGCCGCGATCGCTTTTTTGTGTGCATAAAAACATTTTTTTCTTCATTAAAACGTTCACAAATAATTCTGAAAACCTCCGTGCATGTGTATTAATAATATATGTATAATATGTTCTCTGATTAACATTTCAAAGTGTTACGGAAACGTAGGTGTAGACCAATCAGAAAGGAAGGGGGAGGGAGCTTGCGTTGTTTTTTTCTGTCTCTCTGACAAACTCCAGACAATCACTTTAACAAAGTAATTATTGTCAAGCCTAGCTCAAACAACTTGTCATTAAATTGTAGATTAAGATATTTTGTTGATATTGGGACTTGATATTTATAGCTTGTATGTTTTCTTATAAAGTAGAGATTTTTGCCATATCCGTTATTAAAAAAATAGGTTTTAGCTGCTTAGGGGTTCAATATGTCTAAATACTCAATACTGTGGTTAAATGGCATTGGTGGCATATAATACATTCAATAATACAGTTTATCTCAATAATTAAATATATCATTCATCAAAATTAGTTATTGGGACGAACATGGTTCAAGCTAAATAGAAAGTCAAACCATACTTGGGTACAAAATGATTTGCCAAAAGACAAAAAGCCAACTATACATTTTAATGGAAATAAGCAGACTGAGGAGTTCTTCCAGGACAAGGTTTTACATTTGAGAAAGTTACACACACAGCTTTCAATTGGTAAAACTTAAATGTATTTAAATGTGGAAGCATACTGGTTTACTAGACACACAGCATGTCTGGCTGATTTAGTGATTTAGGGCATTTCCTTCCAACTTGTGTATCACATTACGCCGAGGAAACATTTCAAGAAAAAACAACAAGAGCTTCAGAGCTCCTGACAGGACAAGGACAGTTGACATTTGCATGTGGCATGAATGACCTCTAAGGGTTGGTTGCCCAGATCATTGGTTGTATTTATAGCAGCGGAAACCACGTGTGTGACAGAAATGAACAGTTGTGGTTTCCTGACTATTGATCCGAGTACAGAGTACAGAATACGTTACATGCTTGATCTAAGACAGACCTGGGTGAATTGAGGCACATGGGCCCCATACGGCCCAATTGCTGTTTCTAAGCGGCCAGTGGATGTATCTATTCAATTTAGGAAAAATAGACATTTAAACTTAACTGCAACCATGGCAGGTTTTACTTTATTTTAAACAATTTCTCAGGAAAACAACCTGATCATTCACCAAATTTTGCTGAAGCAAATCATATATGTTGAATGGAATAAGATAAGATAAGATAAACCTTTATTAGTCTCACAGTGGAGACATTTCAGTGTCATCGTTGCCCACATTACAGCAGAGAAAGGAAATAAGAGCACTCAGATAGCACACATCAAAGTCTATTATTTAAGATAATAGACAATACATTTAAGATAGAATAAAATAAGAAACTCTGGGCTATAATTGCACTTGGTTCGGAGAATCTACAGATGTCTATATTATACATTAGCAGCAGAGAATGAGAATATGAATGAGCAGAATAAACATCAGAAATAATATCAACAGGTAAAGTGACTTGAATGGGAGAATTATCAGATGGATATGAATAATACAGTAAGATATCAACAGGTAAAGTGACGGTGAAAGGCAGAATTATCAGATATGAAATAATACAGTAGTACTGATAACAGTAAATATCAGATATCAGTACTACTACAGTACTACATAACAGGTAAAGTGACTAGTGACAAGTTACTAGTGAATTATCAGAAACACTTGTGCAGACTCAGCAGTTCCTGTTACACATTCTCGTTGTACAGTCTGACAGCAGCAGGAAGGAAAGACCTGCGAAACCTCTCCTTCACACATCGAGAGTGAATTAGTCTGTCACTGAAGCTGCTCTCCAGAGCAGAGAGAGTGTCCTGCAGGGGGTGACAGTCATGGTCCAGCATAGATGTTTGCTCAGGACCCTCCTGTCCCCCACCTGCTGCACTGTGTCCAGGGAACAGCCCAGGACTGAGCTGGACTTCCTGATGACCTTGTCCAGCTTCTTCCTGTCCCTCTCTGTGATACTGCTGTTCCAGCAGACTACACCGTACAAGATGGCTGATGCCACCACAGAGTCATAGAAGGTCTTCCGGAGTGGCCCCTGCACTCCAAAAGAGCCTCCTCAGCAGGTAGAGCCGGCTCTGGCCCTTCTTGAAGAGGGCGTCTGTGTTATGAGTCCAGTCCAGTTTGTGATTCAAATGAACACCCAGGTACTTGTAATGAGTCCACTCTCTCAATTCCCTTTCCCTGGATGTACACTGGGGCTGGAACGGCAGAGTGGCGTCTACGGAAATCCACCACCATCTCCTTGGTCTTCCCCGCGTTGATGAGGAGGTGGTTCCGCTGACACCAGTCAACAAAGTCCTGTATAACTTCTCTGTACTCTGCGTCATCGTCCTCGGAGCTGAGTCCGATGATGGCAGAGTCGTCAGAGAACTTCTGTAGAACACAACCGTCCGTGTTGTGTCTGAAGTCCGCAGTGTAGAGGGTGAAGAGGAACGGTGCGAGGACTGTCCCCTGGGGGGCCCCCACACTGCAGGTCAGGACCTCAGACACGTAGTCCCTGGTTCTCACAAACTGGGGTCTGTCTGTGAGGTAGTCCAGGATCCACTCAGACAGGTCGTAGTCCACTCCAGCTGTCTCCAGCTTGTCCCTGAGAAGCCTCGGTTGGATGGTGTTGAAGGCGCTGGAGAAGTCGAACATAATCCTCACAGCGGTGCCGGGTTTCTCAAGGTGGGACAGCGAGCGATGGAGGAGGGAGATGATGGCGTCCTCTACTCCAATGCCCGGCCGGTACGCGAACTGCAGCGGGTCCATTGCTGGGCTCAGAGTGGAGCGGAGATGTCCCAGGATCAGTCTCTCCAGTGTCTTCATGCAGTGGGATGTTAGAGCCACTGGCCTGAAATCGCTGAGGTCTTTGGCCCGTGGTTTCTTGGGCACTGGTACCACACAGGAGGTCTTCCAGATCTGTGGTACCGACCTCAGGCGGTATACTACATATACCTCACATGTAGTAAAATTGTAAAACAAAAGATTAGTTGTATATTCAAAAGATGTGCTAGAGAAACTTTTTCCACTAAAAAGGACAATATTGGATATTATGCAACTGTATTCCTCTTCTCCATATATTTTTGTTGATTAAATACAGTTTTAGAATATGTTTTAAAAGTTGTTTTGCCAATTAAAATGAACCCTAACCTCCACAACATAACCCAATGTGGAGAAAATTGCCTACCCCTGGTCCAAGTCATCATGAAGCTGCAGAGTTAAGCAGCAGACTAAAACAACCTCTTGAAGATAATAGTTTTAGTTTAATTAAAATAAAAAAATTCTATGGTTGTCAAGTTTCAAAGCAATGTGAGGAGGAAAAGCAAGCGAAACCTGATCCATATGTGTATAAATCTCTCTCAACAGATAGACCCCATTACAATGGCTTTGGAATAGCTGCTCTAAATTATCTATGAGTATCAGGGCTGGGCATGCAGAGGGGCCACGGCTCCACCTGAGCCATCTGTCACCACATGAGTCAGCATCTCTGCAGGGACCAGGTTTTTACTCATTCATCAATTTGTTTTGATGATTTTAGTGTGAATATTAAGTGAAGGCATTCATATAATACAAGTGATAAATAGAAAGATTAACAAAAGATAGCTGTGGAAGCATCATTGGGACTAACCAAAGCCAGATGCTCAAGGAAAGTGCAGGGACGCTTGGTAGGAGACATCAGGATGTAATTTCAGACTGACAGAAACAGGTAGTGTATGTTTTTATACTTTCTTTTAGTGTGTTGTACAAAGCTGAAATAAAAATGTTCACATGCTATATCATATGACACTGGGAGAAACTGAAACCAGGTCAACACTGCTAGAAAAAAAGTTGTTTCTCTTGCGGTGATCACACTCGTCCAGTCTGAGAGTTAACTTGGATTTTTAGACCCCAGCCAAAAACAGAACGCCATCTACATTTTGGTAAATACATTTTTTTAATTAAGTGTCAATAATTTCAAATAAATCATTATATTAGTAGTGACGAAGCAAGAGGCTGAAGAAGAGTCTATTTATCTCTATATCTTATAAAAGTTGTGTTCTAATAAACCCTCAGTGTGGTACAAATCTCCCAACACCCCCACCATCCAATCACAACCCAACTAGTCAGAATCAGGAATTTTGATCCCAATACTTTTTGTTCAACTTTATTTTTCAA